AACGGTATCAAAATTTGGTAGGCGGCATCTTCTGGACTGTACCAAATACAAGGGATAAGAGTCATGAGACCTTGACCATTATATTAATAAACGTCACAACCCTTGCTGAATTCCATATTTTCTTCCTATCAGTCGTCGCCGATTCTTCACTGGGCATTCTGAGTTTACGCGGTAGTCTCTGTGATGGCTCTTAATGAATATTTTGTGGTTTCATTCCTTGGAATCTGTTTGGGCTGATCCTGATATACGCATTTGCATTCGAGTTTATAATAAATGTTTCTGGTAACTCTGTGAACAGTAGGACAATCTGCACGTCGAAATGTGCAGCGATGGCAATATGGATAGTTTACCCCACTGAGCATTTAGAGTTGTTCCTAACATTTCTGAATGAGATCCTCTGTTCAATTTCCATATGGGAGTAATTGATTATAAGCAGTGCAGCTCGAACTTGAAGGCTTTCATGGAATAGCACAAGGTGACACCAACTTACGATAAAGTTTCATATTATGGCCAGAGAAGAACATTAGTCTGATAGAACAAAACTTACGTTCCAATTTAAATAGTGCAGTTGTGTATTTACCTACAGCTCTAAAAGGTAATATTGTTGTGCTGCTATATTTTGACTAAACTACCGTACACGCATATCTTAGTACTTCTTCGCGTTTACAATTGTGTCCTAACGTTGCGATTACTCGACATCCACAACGTAATTCAAAAGGCACTTGCGAAGGAATACGATGGTGTATTATTGCAACAATCAAAATTCAAAAATCGAGCGAGTACAAAAGTATCAATTGTTAACATGCAAGATTTAGAGTAATAACAAATCGAAGTACAATTACACAATGAAAGTATAGTACTATGATGAGTAATAACATGGGTCACTACAACATAGATGCTTAGAGGGGGGAGGTTGATCTCTGAATCACTGTTCATCGAATGTTTGCACTAGTCAACAACAGAATTTCCAGTAGTAAACACTGGGGAATATGCTGAGTACTTTTAGAAAATTATTAGCCAACCACATTATTCACCCGTGCCATTTAAGCACTGTAAAAAATATAAATGGTGCTTGCTACCGAAAATTCGAAACTGATCATCACTCGGATAACCTTTAATATAGCTGTTTGACTTCATTATGAAGGTTTTATGAAAATCCAAGTATTGATGTGCTTACGTTGCAAGGATTGCTAACTTGTCTACCAGGATGGTGTCATCATGTAAAGCTGAGCGTCAGTGACTTTGAGGGTTACGTGTGGTTACTGGTTTTGTGTTGACTTCTAGTCAATCGTATTTCGTATTAGAGTAATTCGCAGAATTTATTTCATGTATACACGTAGTTACCTATCGTATCGCTTGTCAGAGTCTGCCAACCACCTAAATTATTAGTCATGATTGTTTCTACCTTTAGAATACATGAGGAGTAAAAGTACTGCATAGGCAAGTCGTTTTGTCCAATAACGGTGAAATGAAATTAGTAAATCCGTTCCAATTTACACAAGTCATACTTTCCCAAAATTTCAATAAATCCAGAACTCTGTGAAATCAAACCGTGGTTTAGTCCGAGAATGAGTAAAAGAACAGTAAGATATGAGAAACTTTGAAAGGCGACAAGGATTATCCCCAAAATGGATGTTCTGATATCTGAAAAAATTCACCTTTGTTAACTGACAATAGAAGTCTTGAAGACTATGTTGATTCTATTTCTAGTATACTTCTGTACTTGTTCAGACCCTTATTGAATGAGTCGCATGCGAGAGCTTCAGTGCTACGCACGGTCAGGTATTTTTTGAGGTAGATGATTACTCCAGTCCCTTTGAGAGGTGGCGTAGTTTGATGGGTCAACTTCATTATCAGTGCCATCGGATGTGAATTATATCTCTGTAGTGATAACTATTTCCGGGTTTCCGGAGTCTATTATATCAACCAGCTTGGATCATTTGTTCAGCAGGCTGCAGGCGTCTGTGCAGCTAATCGCTAACTCAGTTTGGTGCTTCCGTGGCCTACCCACAGAGGTTTCGGGATCACCAAACTTTGAACTCTGTCAATTAGAAAACCATTCATCGTAAAGTCTTTCTCGCCGTTTCGGCGGCGTTCACTCAATCCTTGAGGCTCAAACAAGCTTTTAATGCGGTCTGCTAGATATAAGTCAGCTCCAACGTATATGCCTGATCTCTCAAGAGCTTGGGAGTCACTTAGTATAGTGTCTTTATCAGTTTTTTGGTTCAGCTGCTACCTGTCAGCTGCCATCAAAGCCACGCCGAAGTTTACCGAAGACCAGGAACCTTTACCTCACAACCGAAAAGCGAGCACAAGAAAAACAAATCGGTTTACATAAGCGCTTAAAAACGATACTGGAATAATACATGTGAGTGCTGCATTGAACAATATAAAATTAAGTTAAGGGGACACAACGCCTTCTGCAGGCGAAGCGAAAAGCCTGGTTTGCGTGGCGACTATCGAAGAGTCAACCCGAACATGAAGTGTACCTTGAACTCAGGAATTGATGTAACATACGAGTCCGGAGTGATAGTAGGACATTTCAGAGAAACCTCGCCAATAAGCTTCTCGTGAACCCCAAAAGCCTATACAGGTTTATGTCTGAAAGAAAACCGACCAACCAGGTAGCTTGCAATCTAGTGGGTTCTGATGAGAAATCTCCTACTAGTCTTGAAATGGCAGAGACATTCACTCTAGCCTTTCACAGGTAACTAAACAGTAACGAGGATTTTACCCCCACAAAACATCAAGGTTACAATGCAAAACCAATGTGCGAAAACCTGCTGGGTACATTTCAAATTACCCCGGCTATGGTACTCGTAAAACTGGGAAAGTTGGCTTCGGGAAAGTCTGCAGATTGCGATGACATAAGACCATCCGTCCTGAAGCAGTGTTCAGAAAGCCTCTGCCAACCCCTAAGTGATCTGTTTCAACACTCCTTTGATCTAGTGAAACTTCCATGTGAATGGGAACGAGCCATCCTATCCTCTATCTTCAAGTGTGGTGACCGGCAGAATGCGACCAGTTACAGACCAGTTGCGCTACTCCCAGTGAAATCGAAGATACTCATCATCGTACTATACTTTCATTGTGTAATTGTACTTCGATTTGTTATTACTCTAAATCTTGCATGTTAACAATTGATACTTTTGTACTCGCTCGATTTTTGAATTTTGATTGCTGCAATAATACACCATCGTATTCCTTCGCAAGTGCCTTTTGAATTACGTTGTGGATGTCGAGTAATCGCAACGTTAGGACACAATTGTAAACGCGAAGAAGTACTAAGATATGCGTGTACGGTAGTTTAGTCAAAATATAGCAGCACAACAAGTCTCATTGACGACCACATGAGAAAATACTTCGACGGGACTAACCTACTCCATGAAGCACAGCATGGTTTGAGGAGGGGAAAATCCCGTGTGACGAATCTTCTACTAGCTTGGAACGATTGGACACTATCCTGGGACGTAAATGTAGCAGTTCATGTGGTCTTTCTCGACTTTGCGAAAGCATGCGACAAAGTTCACCATGGTCTGCTCCTTCACAAAATAAGCAAGGCGGGTGTTTCTGGAGCACTTCTCGCATGGCTGAAAGATTACTTGGGCGAAAGTCAACCGCATCCGATCGTCCTGGCACACCTTCGGCATCAGGGCCGTTGATGTTTTTGATTTTTATCAACGACCTGCCCTGTCGACTGAACTGCTCTGCGCTTCTTAACGCTGACGACGTAAAGATTTGGAGAGCAATAAACTCATCGGAAGACTCCGACAGATTGCAGGCTGACCTGCAAACTCTGGGAGACTGGGCTCTGGCTAACGGAATGCCTTTCAACCTAAAGAAGTACAAAGTAGTGCAACTTCATTCCGGCAGGTCACAGAGTGCAAATTACACCCTTGGTGGCCAGAACTTGAGTTGTGTGCCATCAGAACGCGACTTAGGTCTTATTTTAACAGAAAAGCTAGACACCAGTGTAAATTACACGAGGGACGTCGCCAAAGCTTACGCAACTTTACACTTTATGCATAGGCAGCTGGGAGCTCTTACTCCCGAACTATTCTTAAGGTTGTATACGACATACGTGAGGCCACTCCTTGAGATGCATAATATCATTGCTCCTCCGCTACTCAAAAGGGATGCTAACATGCTAGAAAGTGTCCAGAGACGACCGACAAAATGGGTGATCGGCCTCCGCAACAAAGCATGTGAGGAAAGACTGAAGAAATTGAGTCTTTTCACACTTAGTTACCGTAGTCACAGGGGAGACCTCATCTTCGTCTATAAGATCCTAAATGACCAGCCCCTCCCTAATAAAAGCATCCTGCCATTAAGTGATTATAGGCTTCCACGAGATAACCCGCTAAGCATAGCACACCAGAGACCAAAGACTCAAGTGCGTTCACATTTCTTTTCGCTTCGAGTTTGCCGTCTCTGGAACGCTTTACCGGCGGCCGTGACTACAGCGCCATCTGTGGAGACTTTTAAGCGGGAGCTGGACAATCATGCAGAAATGCAAGGTTTGTGTCTCAATGGCTTATCTTCTTAAAATTTGGAACCACATTGTCAATGGATAAGCATACAAGCTAAATCCCCACGACCTGTTCTGTCTTCTCCTACTGTACTGACTACTCTATCTTTTTCTTAGGTCACCTTTATTATTTCACTTATCTCAACCTATATTATCTACACTACAACCTATTATTATTACTATTCTGCTTTTATGACTACACCGAATGACCAACGGGTGTTAGGTCAAACTCCATTCATGGCAGCAACTCAGTCCTAACATACTGCACACAACAAGCCATGTTTTGACCAATCCCTGCACCACTCCTCTTGGAGTCTATCAGAGCTAAAGCAGTCGAGTGGCGGGACTTACTACGCATAAGTTCACCGAAGATCTGGAACATCTACCTTACAATCAAGAAGAGGGCTCAAAGAAATCACTGGTTTATACTAGCTCGTAATCAGGATATTGGATATTGGAAATTGGACTCGGAGGGTAATTGAAGAATGCGCTACCGTTGTGGTTTCTGGCGTAATAGAAGACGTTTAAGTTCTGCTTTCGTATGACGGTTTATTCCCCCTCTTATATGGCTTTAAGCTGAGTAAAAATGGCTTGTGTTATATAAAATGCCACTATTATTAACCCTGTGAATTATTTTTACATATAAACCCGTCAGTAGATTATTGTATCCCCAATATGAGTGAGAAGTTTGGAAAAAAGGATATTATGTCTGTTAAGAAAACTATTATTTACACCACAGAAAGTCCATTGACGTGCATGGCAGTGAACCCTAAGGCAGAAATGATTGCAGTGGCTGGTAGAAATCTGTTCCAAGTTTTCAGCGTCCATGAAGATAAATTTGTTTCGGTACGTCTGTGCATTGTTAAGTTTTGGGTTTCATTTTTTAGAAACTTAAAATTTTTTTCAAAATTGGAATTTTGCTAGTGTTAACCTTTTTAAACGTATCGTATCTGCAGTGTCGTGTTAGAGAGTTAACTATTGGAAACCGATGCCACAGCATTCTTTCCCTTTTTGAACCAGGAGTTTTGTGGCTCATGATCATACCAACTGACGAATACACCAGTTTATCACTAAAAGGATATATGTTAATAATATTTTCCTCACTTGTGCATCATTTGAAATATTGCACTGATATTTCTCTTCATTTACATGTTATGCATGAGGCTTTTGTGCATAGGGTGTCAGTAGTTTTTGGACTGTCGTTTATGCTGCTTGGCCGATTCGAAAAAGTCCGAAATTGTCTTTTGATGTGGTTTGTTTTCTTCGAACCTTTTGGTTTGACTGCGATGCTTTTGTTGTCTTTCCAGAAACCTTCCTCCGCTCAAACTGCAGTACGAAGTGAACTCGTTTCAATTCTGCATGAATAATATTACCGTCTCTCTTGACGGTCAACAGCAAAGAATAGACACCAACTTCAGACGACCTTGAAACCATTAATCAGATTCTTCTGGGTGAAATGTGGTATTTAATTTGTGAAAGTGTATATACATAATAAAAATGAACTACATAGGGTATATGTCTCTGATATGCTGCTAAAATTGGTCTCAGTTTCTCATAGGAGTGGTTATAGACAGCAAACTAATGTCTATGCAAAAACCCATTTAAGTGGCTACATACCATATCATAATGGAAACCACGAGAATGGTTGACTTTATGATGAATATACCCAAGTGGTGATAGTTGCGAATAACCTCTCCACTCGTTTATGTGAAGTGGTAATGCCTGGAAAGACTAGTCGTTGTATTACTGGTATTAAAATATCAGCACTTCTGTTTGGGACGACTTCTATTAACCCTTTCCGTAGGTTTGTATCGTACAGTCCCAGCACCCAAACATAGTTTGCTCCTTTCCTACCGCAGCGATTCATGTTTCGTTAAATAAGGCCTGTTACGTTAATATGAATGAAGACACCAACTCCTCCAAGTACACAAGCAATTCCATTGACCTTTTGTAACGCAATATCCCGACAGTGCTGTGTTGATACCACTGTAGTGTTGGCACTTTAGCATCCTATATTTCTGCAGCTGTAGCAGATACCGGTCGTTTCAGTGGCCAGTTGTGGCATATACGCAATATTTTACCAAGGCAGAGTTTCGATTTCGAGAAAGTATCTAAGAAATCACCGTGATTTGTGATTTACCAACTCGTATAGGTTACTTCCTGCTATGACAGTGATTGCATTTGAATGCAGAACCATCAATGGCCCGGCAATACTTTTGCAGTCATTATCCCTCTACCACATATACATGTTTTAGTCCGTATCAACCCACTTTCCACACAGAAGTCAAAAACCAAATCTTAAGTGAAACTTGCAACGAAGATTATGAACAGCATCTATCTGTAATACTGAAATATCTATTTAGTTTGTTCAAGGTCACTTGACTTAGGTATCTATTGTTTACTTCTGCCTCTTGATGTATTTGGTCCCGACTGATTGCTAATTTTCTCAGTTATTGATCGTTCTCATTGACTTGGAACTTGAATTTTTGTGTTATGACTTATTCTTTATTAGTTGGTAAATTCGATCTATGTTGAGGCGTCTGTAGGCCGTTGATTCTTCTTACAACAAGGCTTCACGGAATTCCCTAGTGTTTGGTGTTTCCACTGTCTAAATTTTTCACATTCTTCCAATCATATCAGTGTCCATAGTTGTCTACATGCAGTGATATGAACGAATACATGTCGTGTCTTTTGACAGCCAGTTCATGTCCTCGGGAACAGAGACTAAGGGGACACCAGATTGACCATTACAGTATTTTTCAAATTTGGCGCAATTTATTTTACAGATGGTGTTGGTTTTATCTTTTCTGCTGTTGAGTCTTTCAGTTTGTATAGTATTAAATGAAGTGATTTCACTGGATACCAATCTAACTGGAATGATATATACGTTCTAAACAGTAGAAAAACCAAACACTAGGGAATTCCGTGAAGCCTTATGGTAAGGAGAATCCACAACCTACAGACGCCCTAACATAGATCAAATCTATCAACCAGCAAAGAATAAATCAATGAAAACGGTCAATAACTGGGAAAATTAACAATCAGCTGGAACCAAATTGGTTAAGGGAGACAATAACATTATTCATGGAGAATCCAAATTAGTTCACTTCATACTGCAGCCTGAGTTGACGAGTTTGCTTAGAAAAGCAATGAGAGCTTCTTAATTTAACCACCTGACTATGAAGACAGCCACATAAAAATCATCCACCTGAGTTACAAATCTACATTATTTTAGCTGCTAACGCACAATATTTCTGGATGCAAAATTATTCAGTCATTTCAGATACAAAAACCGAGCTCATTAATGTATTAGTTAATTAGTTATTTACCTCGTCTTTTCGCTCAGTGGTAAGTGGAGACATTTTAGATTAATTGTCCACATCGTCGGGGCACAGTTTTACATAGCTGTCTTAAAACAACTTCATTTTTCGACATATTAATGTTTCCTTTATTTACTCTATCCACTGCAAATTCAACCGATAAAAGTGTATATTCTCAAAAACACATGGCTGTGTTTTTATTAAATATCCCAGAATGTTTTGGTTTATACTTCTTACCGTTTGTACCTACAATATTGATTTTATGCTTGCTGTTTTGGGGATGTGGTATACATCACTAGGCTTCTTTGTTAGTGACAAATAAATTCGAGATTTCTGCTAGAGCTGATAAAAGTCCTGTAACTCACTTATTTTAGATATCAGTGGTTTTCTCTCATCTTTCACTGTGTTTAAAAATTAAGATTCCATAAAGGTTGTAAGCTTCTCAAGATAATATAGTTCTCAGTTGTTAATTACCGGGTACTAGATTTGTAATAAGTTCGTATGTAAGGTGTACTAACCATAGTCAGGCAACATCATTTCCTAAACAAGATATCAAATAAAACTCAGGAGGTAGTGGTCACAAAGACTAGTCAAAGATCATATAAACATATGACCACTTCACCTATTTGGGAAGTTGTATCAGCACCAACGGATTGGTTGGTGACGAAATCTCAGCACGAATCCAAAAAGCTCGGGCTGTTTTCGCTAACTTACACCATCTCTGGCGCAGGCGTGACATCCGGCTATCAACCAAGGGACGTGTGTACTGCTCAGCAGTTCGCTCCGTCCTTCTCTATGGTGGTGAGATGTGGCCATTGAGAGCGGAAGACATGAAAAGATTGTCTGTATTGACCACAGATGTTTACGATCTCTTTCTAGTGTTGGGTGGTACAATAAGGTAAGTAATGTTGACGTTAGGCGTAGAGTGTTGGGCAAAGAGGAAAATCAATCGAAGAGGCTATAAAGTTACATAGATTGAGATAGCTAGGTCACGTGCTGCGCATGCCTAACCATCGCCTCCCCCGACAGGCATTACTAGCTGATATGGGTGCAGGTTGAAAAAGAGTAAGTGGTGGCCAAACAAAAACATGGCATAAATCCATGAAATCCCTGACAGTTAAACTGAGTCAGGTAGGGAGATGCAGACTTCCGGGTTGGGGCCCGCCCTCGGGACTCTAAGAATCAATGGCTGGAGACAATAGGTGACATGGCTCAAAATCGTTGTCAATGGCTTACGCAGATGTATTCAGTCTCTGTAATCTTTCATATTCCTTTCTACCATTACTCATTCTGTTTCACTATTATACTTGTCAAAACTCTATTGATTCTCTTCACTCATTTTCCTGTCTACCTTTGTGTGCTATTTGGAACGTGGCAACTCGAACTGCTGCACTTCAGTGCCAAATTCTATGTTGAATCCAGACAGATATAAACATATTCATATGAAAAACAGAAGTTTGAATTGACGTAGAAAATGATTTGACGATTATCTGAGCATGACGAAGACACTCATTCTGAGGACACCTGACACAACAACCCGCCCTCTGTAGAAGCAACGACTTGCAGTCCAAGGATAATAAGTGCTATTAATATATGTGTAAAACTTTGGCACTGTGGTAGTAAGTAATTCCATATTAGTTTGTTTATTAGGTATATCACACAGTGAAACAGTATTAATTAATTCCAGTAATTAATACTGTTTCACTGTGTGATTTACCTAATAAACAAACTAATATGGAATAATAAGTGCTACTAAATCTTTATAGTCCTATCCGTACTGATCGATACAGGAAGACTAATTTCAATCGGCTAACACTAACTGGTTAAATATGTTCTTAGTGGCTTTGAGCAGTGATGGATGATGCAGTTAAATTCAACAAAACAGTAAGTCTTGGTTAATATTCGTCATTTACTTAGGACCATTAAGGAAACGGACCCTACGAAGGTTATACTTAGTGGAAATATATTCGAGAAATGTCGAACTTTAATAATTCATCACGAAAGGTGTTTTGCATTTTAAGAAGAGAACTTGGTCACCAATGGGGAATAATTTGACTAATAAAGTATCTAAAATCCTGGGGTGCATAGCTTTAAAAAGAATAAGTGGAGTTTGAAAATAGTAGACGCGGAAAAACTATTCAGCTTTCAAGCTCAAATGAAGGTGCATTGGTCACATCTCCTTCTTCGATAGGTCCTAGAACAAAGGGGTACTTATCAGCATCTCACACTATATTCTTCAACTTAAAGGTGGCATTCGCCATGTGCTGTTGTAACTTGTATCATCTTTGTAGGAGATGGAGATGTGTTTCATTGATCTAGATGTGTTAGTTTAACTCTGGAGGTGTTTCATGAAGATGTCAAGGAGTTTTTGATGACACTAAGTAGGATAATCCATGTTATTCTCAATATATTGGTATAGATCATTAATTATATTTTCTAAGAGGACAAATCTCCTGATGCAACAACAAAAATATCAGCTTAACTCATGTCACTTTAAAGTTGCAGATGCGCCTTGCTGACTGGTGAGTGCCAACTAGCACGAAACCTAGGTCCAAGGCTTCCTGCCGACTGCCTCCATCTGATATCATCAGATACATTCGATGCTTGAAAATAGCACATAAGCCTGAGAATATACCGAATAGCCTATATACTGCGCCTGTTTAGAAAACAATCTAGCAGGTAGGCGTTTACAATGTAGAGTGGCAAAATACACTCTGGCATGTTAATTGTACTTATGACCTTTCAGTTGTCTTTATTTTGTTACACTTAAGCCAGATGGCTTGTGTAAAAAGAAAAAAATTTCAAATGCCAGTTTAGTCCATGTAAAGTTACAAACGGAGAATAGTATCTTCAAATGTACATAGAGCCAGAAGAATAAAATTGTGTATTTAAAACCCATTAAATAAAATGTGTTGGGATCGCTGACAAGTGGAAATACTCAAATTTATTGTCTCGTAATAATTACATGTTTTCATTATGGAGATTTACTTGACATTTTTTCACAGTGTTATACAGTGATATTTACTGATGAACACATTTCGAGCACAATTTATTGCCGCTCATAATCATGTCAAGCTACTCACACAACTTTCTGACTTCGTTTATATAATGCCATTATTTTTCATCTTTCGGTCTGATTGGTAGTAATATTTTCCACATCTTTGGTATAAATGATGAGTCGTTGCTATTGCATCTGTTGGGTGTAGATTTGCTGAACAAAGGTTCAATAATCAACCTCACTCCGCACCTACTCATATTATTTTCTCTAATTGTAACTCTGTCCCACTTTATTGTGCGGTTGTGTGTTGTTAATGCATGCGGTGCGATTGCCGAGTTGTTTCCTAAATTATTAATCTTCTTGGAGTCAGTCATTCTACACTTAGCTAAATTCTTATGTTCTGATAATCTAACTACCTTCGATCTACTGATTTGACCTATGTTTTTGACCTAACTCACAGTTATTGCAAGGTATTTCGTAAATTATATTATTTTGTCTAATTCGATCACCATAGAATTTTAGCCTACGGAGTTTGTCCCTGAGTGAGTTTGTAGGTTTAAATCCCACTCTTATTCCTGCTTTCTTAAGGATTCTTATTAAGGCAGCAGATGTCCCCTCCTAACTGTAGAACACTTCGAGACTTTATCAAATAAATTTTCTCTATAATGGAATTATATTCTGCCATAGTGTCCAAGTTCTACTCTTATATCACTTCCATTTTTTTATTGTGCACATTCGATTTATTTAGTTACATCGCGTTAAAACACCTTCACGTTTGGTTATGTCTGATGTCCCAATACCAAAACCTGCTACGGAGTCTAGTGGAACAGAGTGTACTCCTAATCCAACACCTGTACCTATGACTTCTACATTGGTTGAATCAACACCATCCCGGCATAGTCCTGTTATGCCGACAGCGATCAATCAACCGCGTTCTCACAGTGTAACTGATGTAAGCTGGTCCAATGTGAGTGGTAAGTTGTAACGGTGATACTTGCTATTTACTAAGCAATTTCCCCTTACATATGTATTCACATGGTCAGTTCCTAATAGTAAATTATCACACTTTAAGTTCTGTTGATGTTTTTAGATTTAAAATTAAAGCACTAAGGTTGTTACACTGTGGGTATAACTCACAACTCCTCAGATAGAAATCTGTTCGTGGTTTTCCAGCTGCAAACAGTTAAAGTCTTATTTTGATTTGACACTAGTAACTAGTGTGATGCGTCTAGTCCTCTCTTTGGTGCAGACTGAATTCTATCAGGTCCAAGGCTTCCTGCCGATTGCCTCCAACCATCTAATATCATCACAAACAATGTGCACCGTGATGGCGAGCTACCTAGAATGGTGGCCACATTAAAACCTGACTGATAGAATTCAGTCTGCACCAAAGAGAGGACTAGACGTATCACACTAGTTACTAGTGTCAAATCAAAATATCCACTACAGTCCTACAGGAGGTCCATCGCGAGCCCGAATAGCTCAGTGGTAACGTCTCTAACTGCAGCATTGGCTGACGCGGGTTCGAATCTCAGAAGGGACATGAGTTCCTTCAAGGTTGCAGATACGCCTTGCTGAAGAGTGCCAACTAGCACGAAACCTAGGTCCAAGGCTTCCTGCCGATTGCCTCCAACCATCTAATAGTTAAAGTTTTTTTATTTCAAAGGTAATATCTTCGTACTGCAACTCTTTCCGGACAAAGTAGTTTTACTATCGATGATCTTGTAAATTTCTTCAAAGAAATATCATATTGACTGTAACTTATGACTGTGCTCAACACTGAGAACTGACACCTGGGTTTCACAAATATAGCGTAACGGCAGAAGACAAAGGCCAGGCAACAGATCGTTTATTAAGGAAATCAACAGATATTTATACATTTTTATGTACATTATTATTATTATTCGTTATTCTTAGCAGAGAAACAGCATCTTCTGAATGGTTGTTTTCTCTCTGAAAGTTATTGTGTCATCTCTTTGTGGCTGTTTCTTTGATGGTTAGACCATATATCTGCGGATCGTATCCATCTACGCTAAGTCTTTGTTCTTGTTTTTCTCATGACCAAGATTTTGGACGTAAACATTGACGTAAATTGCTGTCTGTCAATTTGGCTAGCAGACAGCTCTCACCACAATAGTACTTTGGTGATTGTTACAGTGGTTTGAAAGATAGATCTCTTATTTTTTAGAACTTGTGAGTAAGTTTCAGCAGTATTCCAAAAAGGCAAAGAGTGCTTCCTCTTATTTTTAGATACTCTTTTAATTGCAGTGTTAGACAAAGCAGGTTGGAACCGTAGTACATACAAGTTCTATAAATCTGTAGGTTCTTTTCATACTGAAGAAAGTCCAAAAGAATAGAAAGCTCTAAGATATTTCATGTTTACCATCTGCATAGATCAAACTTATGAGTTATTATTATTTCAACTGACATCTGATGATTTTTCATGCAATTCGACTTTTTCTGATTTTTTTTCACTTTAGATATCCTTGCCACAGCATCTACTGGCGGGGATGTCATGCTCTGGGATGTCGCTAGGGGTATGACTCAAAGTAAGTTTTTACATATATTTTGTTAGGTTGTGTATTTGCCGTGCAGAGTTGTGAGAATCAATTGAAAATAACTGTTATTGTCTGTTTGTCGTAAGGGGATGACAAGTAACAGTAGGAATTTATTCCTGTTGTCTCTTTAGCGTCTAAATACAGAAATATTCCCTTCATATTTGTCAAATGACTGGCTAAAACGATAAGGTGCTTAAGAGGCCAGCATTAATTTCAGTTACTCAATTTGAAATAATAGTCTAGGATGTTTCTAGAGGGGAGGGGGTACATGGTAATTCGGAATGTATGCTTTCGATTTCATTGCTATCAGGTTAAAAGCGGTTTTAGTTTACAGTCAGATAAATCACTCAGCCCTTGTGAAATTGTAAAAAAAATAAGGGAATTGAGAATGAGTCTTACCGTGCTCAATTCCGATGTTTTATATTTTAGTTCTGTTCTGTAAGCGTGACATCCGACTATCAACCAAGGGACGTGTGTACTGCTCAGCAGTTCGCTCCGTCCTTCCCTATGGCTCTGAAACATAGCCAATACGAGTTGAAGACATGAAAAGGTTGACTGTTTTTGATCATAGATCTCTTTCTCACGTTAGGTGGTATAATAAGGTAAGTAATGTTGACGTTAGGCGTAGAGTGTTGGGCAAAGAGGAAAATCAATCGAAGAGGCTATAAAGTTTCATATATTGAGATGGCTAGGCCACGTGCTGCGCATGCCTGACCATCACCTCCCCCGACGGGCATTACTAGCTGATATAGGTGCAGGTTGGAAAAGAGTGAGTGGTGGCCAAACAAAAGCATGGTATCAATCCATGAAATCCCTGACAGTTAAACTGAGTCAGGTAGGGAGATGCAGACTTCCGGGTTGGGGCCCGCCCTCGGGACTCTAAGAATCAATGGCTGGAGACAATAGGTGACATGGCTCAAAATCGTTGTCAATGGCTTACGCAGATGTATTCAGTCTCTGTAATCTTTCATATTCCTTTCTACCATTACTCATTCTGTTTCACTATTATACTTGTCAAAACTCTATTGATTCTCTTCACTCATTTTCTTGTCTACCTTTGTGTGCTATTTTGGAACGTGGCAACTCGAACTGCTGCACTTTGGTGCCAAGTTCTATGTTGAATCCAGCCAGCCAGCCATTCATGTTTCACTTTGATCAGAAATTTAGTACTTGCAGTTAAGGTATTCTTGTGTAGAGTTTTGTTTTGTTGGTGTAGGATATATAAAGCTGCAAACATGACTAGGAGCGAAAGCCTCTCAAATACAACCTGGTTAAAAGTCTCCTCAATGATTGTGATTAGTGATGGGTGATAAAAGCCAAAGAGATGGTAAAGGAATCGACGGTAGGCAACACTGAACAACTATTTAGACTAAATAAGGAAACGGGATGTAAAAGTCAAATGATAAACAAAACAATTTCTATGAGCTGTGCTTTAATTATTTCTCAGGAAAGAATATTGGAACGTTAGAGGGAACGATTTGAGGGATAATTTAACTAGCCTACAGCCACGCTAAATCTGACTAATATCCAACACCTTCTTGAGTGAGATGTAAGTAGAAATAGGTCCTCCAAGTGCAACTGAGGTTGCTAAACCTGTCAGTAATCTACAAAAAGACAAGACAATGACTCCAGAAGTGTCTGAGGTTAGTAGTGATGGACTGTCGTCTGGCTTTAGGATCGTCGAGACTCTAAGAAACAATCGTTTAAGACTGTTGATGATGATATGGCTCAAAATCGTTCCCAATAGTGCAGATACACTCACTCCTTATAATCTCCCAAATCCATTAAACGCTCATTATTCGCCATGTAGTTATTCTTCCTCTAGTAAATTTTTATTTATTGTAGTTCCTTTGGGTTCTTTTATCAAGTGTGACAACGTGAACTGCTGCAGGTCAAATCCCTACAAATAAACTGCCGCTAGTGACTGGCTGCAGGATTAAGTTGCCTAGAGTTCTAGTGAGAAGTCGTGATCGGTAGGGGTCCACGCGGTTGGGAGTGAAAACTGATACTCGCCGATGACATTGGCTGGCGGTCACGATGAAATCATGAATTGGTAGACGTTAGAATCCATGAATAAATGGTCTACAAAGTCGCCTTGTGATGGGAGAGTCATGCGTTGAAAACCCGGTGGGTGCGTACTGTCGATCAGCCCCAAACTAAGACGAGACAGCTCTCCAGTACTCTCTGGTTTTCAATGGTTCTTTAACTGATATCAATCCGTGATCAAAATTGAAACAAATGAAATCCTCACTACACAAACTCTTGAAAAGTCACACAGTTACTGGATTATGGTGTGTAGTTCAGTATTTTAGGTACTTGGTTCATATTTTCAAGTTTTATTCAATTCATTCAACCAATCAGTATTTACAACTCTGCTTCTTGTTTTTAACTACTGAGTCAGAGAATGATTGTATTGGGTGTGTGAACAGGTGGGTCACACTTTCAATTAATTATCAATGATATTAAGTCGGTTCCTGCTTTTAACCTTTTAACAGGATGCTCAAACCGTATCAATTCTGTTAGTATCACCTCGATTGTTTCTCTTGATTCTTTCTGAGTTTAATTTTTGTGGCTGACTTTGTAATAATTAGACGTTGTGGTCTTAAAAACCTCAGATTTCTATTGTCCTTCTGGTTAACGTGCTGCTTTTTTCCCCTCCTGTTGGTACTACTGTTTAATACCTATCCTTCTTACTTGTCTTTTTAATTTACATCAAGCTGTTTGTTTTTCTGGACACAGTCGTTCAATCCACTGCATTCATTTCAATCCAGCCATCAGTACAGAACTGGTGACAGCTTCACAAGATGGAAAACTAAAATTGTTTGTGAGTTTGTAATCTTCAAATATATTTGATTAGAAAGTGTTGACAGATTTTAGCGTATTATTATTATTATTATTCACTTATTACAGTGCGATCTGATGAAATCGGAGTTCCGAATAGAACAGAAGGCTTCAAGTCTTTAGGCTTTGAGAGTTTCGGTAGCGGTGATGTTTTTTTTACAGGGCAGGATAGATAGCTTCAAGCACATAGCACAAGGCTATGTGGTAAAGTTAAACTTTAAGCACCACCACATATGCAAAAATAAGTATTTGTGATTGCGATTGTACGTGCAGCTAAGTGAATGAATTCTCCGAAAAGAGACTTTGCTGAACTACGTATTTCGTTTTCACTTATGTCTGGATGAGGGTTATTCGTGAATTTAGATTTAATTAATTTAAATATACTGAAGTTTCACCATCCCAGAAGCTAATCAACGACAATTAACGTAGTTGTAGACAGCGAATCATGTTTTAAACATTGTCCATTAAATAAAACTGTATTACTGCGCTACGTCAAATAAGCTAACTGATATGAAATTTTACTCCGCCATAATATTCACATTAAACTGTTGCATGAATCTTTGATCTCTCGTTATCGGATTCTAAATTTGCTTTCGAAATCAATGTACTGAGTATCAAATAAATGATCCTATCGCTTAACTTTGCTTTTTTTTCAAAGGATATTCGTGACCCGAATCCTAGTTCTTCATGTAGAATATTTTTTCAACGAACTGCATCACCCTCGCCCGTACGAGATGTTGCATTTTGTCCAAAACAAGGATTCATGGTTGCAGCTGCGCAGGAAAATGGTGTAATCAGTATATGGGATACTCGGAAAGGTTCACGTCCTATACGTGCTTTTCAAGGTCACTCTTGTTCAATAACCACATTAGACTGGCATCCAAATTGGAATGCAGCGTCGTGAGTGGACTTTTCATTCTCCTTCTAGTGAATTGATACATTTTATTATTATTCGTTAAATTTATTGTATCTTTTTTGATTGCTTCGTTGAATGGAAATGTCGCGCCATTGGCTTAAGCGCTCGACATCCAGTTAGTGGACAACAAGGTATAATATCAGTAACCCTCACACAGTAATTGTGGTTTATTGCGCAGTACTGGGTAACTGAGATTTAACCACTAATCTACTTCGTTGAACATATTGTGGTTCGAAGTGTTTTGCTTAAAATATAACAGCACTTAGATTGTTATACAGTTAGACTGACCAAGCATGTTAAAGCAGTGATATATTATCTGTGAACGAATTAAATAATGAAGGATCAAATATAAAGTGCTTGTCGAGGCTAATTGGTAGGGGACTATAAATCAGAATCTTGTGATTTCTTCCACTCGTTAGTAAAGTATCGCTCTGAAACCTGGTGAAATTTCATGTCCACTTGGAGACTCAAGTTTGCATCCCTCAGTGCTGAAAGTAAAGGCTTTGCCTTCAGATGGCTGGATGTATTCTTTTGCTGATGGACTTCAGTAACAAGTAACAGGCAGTGATGATCCCATGTCATTCAACCTAATGACCAGATTACAAACGTTATCAAACGTCTGAGATCATAACTGTGGATTTTTGAGGTATGTAGGTCACTGTCCGAAGGCGTATTCTTAAATACTATATTTTTTGACTGATGGCATAACTGCTACTCTTTTGTTCGGGAGGATGACTTACAACAGGAGCGTTTCCTAAATCACTTCTGGAATATTTAGACCTCTTGGAACAGGCGTCGCTTACAAACCAACATTGTTTGTTTTTCACTCAATACTATGTAAACCAAAAGACCCAACAGTGAGAGAAGAAAAAACCAACATCATCTGTAAAAGAAGTTTTGAAATACATTTGCATGAACTGTGGATATCCTTTTCTTCGCTCATGTTGGCTCACTTGGATACCTGTCGCCACCAATTCGACTGGGATTGTGTAAAAAGTCTTAGACATTAGAAATGAAAAGAACATGGAGGTCTGGAAGACCTCTGTTACGCATATCAGTTGGCAGTTAGCAGACACATAGATAGAGATTCAATTTATCAATCAATAAAAAGTAGATCACACCACCAGAAGGTCAAATGTCACAGTGAAGTTGCCTGAAGTTCTAACGAGAAGTCATGACCAACGGCGTCCACCGAGTTGGGTGTGGGTACAGATACTCACCAATAACACTGGCTGGCGGTTGCTCCATATATCGGGAATCTGCAGAATTTAGAACTAATGGGTCACTGGGTTTATTCCTAGTGACTGAATTGTCAACAAGCTCGCCTCGTAACCTGAAGGTCCTGGATTCAACCTCTGGTGGCGAGACGGTTGAGTCCTGCTGAAGAGTTCCAGACGGTTGTCCAGTACTCCTCATGAACTTGAAATATCAGATCAGCGAGAGGATCAATATCATTACGAGTAGATACAGTTTTAAGAAAATCTATAGGAATAATCAATCTCTATGAGGGTCACTGAAACTGAAAAATGTATGTCATCCATGGAGAATTCCTAAAGCCTATATCACACTGAAATTAGCATTAAATATGCTGTCCCAAAGAATAACAAAAGCTCCACAATTACGAACTATCCAGTTCAGAGAACATAACCACACCAAAAACATTCATATGATCTAAAAAATCTTCTCTACTGTTTCAAGATATTTTCTGCTGAGCATATTATTTTCTATCTGGTGGTGTCCTACGACCAGGTCTGTTCCTATCATATAAACTCAAATGATTCATAGAGAATCTCAATTTTTTTTTACTTATACGGTGATTACTGACCTTTAGTCATTGTGACTGATCTCTCACGGGTCGATATATTCGAATTCTTGTTTTCCGTTACCTAATCCAAAGAAAAACTGTAAATACGTTACACCTATTTCAATTGTCATTAAATTCTGATGAGATTATTTTGTTTTGCTTATTTTACTTTCACGAAAAAAAAGATGTAACTGGTTGGCGACAGCTGGTGCTAGAGATCATCTAATTAAAGTATGGAATCTAAATAGTCCTAGTGGACAAAGTTCTGTTACTTGTCCCACTGTCTTATATACTGTACGTACTACAAATGTAAATCGAGTAAGATGGAGACCTACTTTTGTAAGTCTATTTTTATATTTATTTATTTGTTTTACTTTGCCGTGTGTTGCTTCTTTTTGTACAATGAATTTTGCTTTTGACATTCTTTTGCATTCTGAGTAGTGGAATATACGGGTTTCAAGCTTTGAGGTTTCTAATTTTCAGTGACAGTGGTGTTCTTTTATGGAGTAGCTCCACACATGCAGCCTTCCTTTTATACAGGGTTCACTACTGGCTAAGCGAGGTTTAAGAATGTGTTGTGTTGACTAGGAATCGAATCCAGATCACAATGCATTCATTGGCTTGATACAATGCTTAAATCTGTTAACATTTGAAATGTGTTCACACTGCTTATAGACAGTTCCTGATATAGATTTTCGTGTTGAGAGGGCTTTTATATTATCTCAGTGAATATCACAGGTACATCAGTCTTTCTACATCTCTTTGATATGACAGCCATTTATTTTTTTTTACTATATCGGAATGTTAGAACATGAAGATTTCTACTCAGTCAGACAGTCAGTCAGTTAATGATGAACTCCAACTGTTAAGATAAGTATCGGGTTCAGAAGTAAGACTGAGGCAGAAAGCATGATACTGAAGCAAATTCGTCATTTGAAAATTACATGTTCGATCAGGAAGTGACATCAGTTAGAGGACCACAATTAGAAAACCACAGACAGCTGTTTCGTCCTAGTCTGGGACTCTCCATCAGTACTTACCCACATTTCCCAAACTAGGACGAAACAGCTTTCTAGTACTGCCTGGTTTACCTATTTTTTGTTGTTGGTATGGTTGCGTTCTCTTATCTGGTTGCTTTAGTTGTCAATTCTTTATTGAAGTAAGCTTTCAAGGCGTTTTCCTGAAGGACAGGGAAATCTTCACAATGAAACTACTTCACTCAGAGGATCGAACCACACCAATTCTTCCTCTTTATTTTAATCTCCTAATACACATGATAAACTTTCCTTATTTTTCCATAAATTTGAGTAACCTGGAAAAAACTCTTTCGAAGAATTTTCTGATTAAAACCACTGATTTTATTTTCTAAATCTATAACGTAATCACCTTTCAGATGACACAACTTGTATCCAGCTGTAGTCTTACAATCGATTTAAGCGTACATGTATGGGATTTACAACGACCATTTATTCCGTATGCATCATTTGAAGAGCATAAAGATCTTGTAACAGGTAAGTTTTAATTTTTATGTTTTGCTTAACTTTTCTCTTTTCTTAGGCTACGGTTTATTATTCAACAAGCCAGTAGTAGTCATCATAATGTTGAACTAGTAACTAATACACCGCAGTTTATGAAAAAATATTCCGTCTGACTTTTTACATTGAGAAGTTAAGACGCCCAGCTATAACTCACCCCCCTCTTCTTATAGTTTGTTAACTCTTCCATATTACCTATTCTTATTTATTCTTCACCATTGTTCTTTCCTGGATTGCTTAAAAAAGACTATGTCACATACTTCGTAGGACTGTGAAAACTGTTAGTAGGACGATTGGTGGCATCGCACTGGGCCATATCGTTGAAATCGTCATTGATAGGCGCTCGGTTTTATGCGACAAATTTGCTAAAGGGATTTCGTAAGACTTTGCTCGCAGCTTTCACCTTGTGTCTCCTACTCAGGTAAAACAAAAAGTCATTTCATCAAAAGACTTTGCGCGCGCACGTCTAAGTATAAAAATTCCACGATACCATATTTGGCACGTATTTTGTAATGAAAATAGTGTCAGGCATGAACTAACTAACCTTCCTACCACCAGTAAATAAACAATTTTCAAGCTTTACTGTTATTCTTCTGTAACACAGTGAGCAACAGTCACGCCAGGATGAAAAGTAAAACGAGAGCTCGTTAAGCGCGTGTATTTGGTACAATGGAAGAAATCAGACAGGATGTGGTTCGATCCCTCACAAATAAACATTCTAATTGCCATCATTGATAGTGAGTCCTGATAAATGTTGTGCCTCTTGCTCCATGGAATAGACTCCTGGGTGTTTTCCTGAAAGGCAGGAAAGAAAACAGTGTTAAGTACTCTACCTATAACAGTTTTATTTTGTTACTTTTTGTTTTTCTCTTCACCACGCTATATCAAGAGTTTCAGTAGTCTATAACAGGCTAAAATTTCCAAACTCTATCGACAATACTGTTTGAAAAAAATCCCACTATTATTATTATTATTATTATAGCTATTATTCTCATTTTGTAGTTTGCACATTTTTGACTTCATTCCTACTGTAAATGTGGACAGATCCCTGTGGTTAATTTTATTTATATTTTGAGTAAATTAGATGCAATATTGTGTGTGACAAATGCTGAGAATACCATGCTATATTATAAGTAAAGTCTTTGGAATAAAGCAGATTATTATTATTATTATTATTATTATTATTATTATTATTAATAAAATGCTAACTAAAACGAGTTTTCAGTACAAGTAGATAATAATTTTGAAAATATTTAAAATGGGAAAAATGTATTGAGTCAAATGAGATAATGTCTGTAGTCTGTAGCTAGGCGGGCGAACGTTGAATTGGTTATTTTCACCGATTTAATGTTGTTTCCGGTAGATTTCTTCTAAGAAATCTGGAGCGATAATTGTGTGATCCATCAACTAACCGAATGTTGTTTGAAGTTATGCGTAAAGTCCAAAGACATAGGATTTGTCTAAATTACGGTACAAATATTATGCATAAAATAATGAAATGTAATAAACAAACCTCAAATCATGAGGTATTTATGGCTGAATGCCATCAAATGCGCACAGTCACTGTGCGTCAATAAAGATAAAACAGCAAAGCTGTGTTAAGAGCGATCCACAGTCAGGCTAAACAGCGAGTGAATGTCCAGATAAAGAATAAAGGGGTGGGTTTTCATTAACTATGTTCAACAGTGAGTGGAATATAAACAAGGTATATACGGTGTTTACCGTTTAATTAACATTAATTACATTAATACACTGAGTGAGATAAACTTCAATGTCAAATAACGGCTAGATAGACTGATATTACTTACTAGTGATAAGTAGTATAAATTGAACACAAAAAAGAGTAACAAAGGACATAAGAAAGGAATTAATATATGGTGTAGCGTTTAGTGCCCATTCTAGTCATTCTATTCAGTGCAAAAATATGGAATTTTAAGTTAGGGAATTGATGTTTAGTGACTTACTGCTATACACTACAGTATTAGGGTTATTGAACAGGATTTGACCGTCGGACATTTGCATTCTCCATCCATTTTTCGTATTTATTATAAAATAACTTTTAGTATCTTTTTTACTGTCGTCTTCAAACTGTGCACTAGTCTTAAAACAAAACAAACCATTTGTAATTATCGTAGGAGATATCCTTGAGTTTTAGTTTATGTTTCATAAATTGGAAATATGATATTCAACGTAACTTGCTGCAAATGGCTCTTGTCCTAATCTACCATAAATTATTATACCAGATATCTTAACTATGAAATAATAAGCACATATTGATGTTACTTGTTTGAGTCTTGGTGTAAACACCATCACTCACTCAGGGGATGTGGTAAATAATTGCATCCAGCTGTCGTGTTCCAAATGAGACAGAAGTCACATTTTGAAATCTACTGCTAACTACTATCAAACAAGTTCCTTCAATTATTAATTCCTGCAATATCTACGTATCTGTTCAAGAAACACATATACTAAAATGAGATTGGTCAATTTGTTTCACAAATATATAAACGGTAAATCATAAACGTCAATACAAGTGATTTCAGTGAGCATAACATTAGAGTTTGTGTAGATTCTGTACTGGATTTATTACCAAAAACCAAGGGGTTATTAGACAAAAATGTAGAATCAGCACATGGAATTCTAGCTTTCGATGTCAGCCATTTGTGGCTCTATGTATGCTGTTTGTTAAGTATTGCTTGCGAAAGAGGATTTTTGGTGAGACACTCAAATATTTTCATTAATCTACGTTGTATGATACTCCACTTCTCTCGCACGTGTACCGTTCTGTACCCGTTCTTGGCCGGTTAGTGTGTAACTGACACTTTTTCCTCAAATACTGTTCCTTTCATACCATGACTGAATTGTAACCAGTCGTTCTCAGAAGTTATTATTTCTCTCACAGATAAATTTCAACGATTATCGTGTTTTCCTAAGAGCCTGCATGTTCACAATCCTAAAATAGAACTTTTCAATTAAATACCATTCAAGAATCCAAGTTATCTAGTATCTGATTTATCATTCAACTGACTAAATATCAGTTTCCTTTCATATCGCAAATCCTCATAATTTCCTCTTATTATTTCAGGTATATCTTGGTGTCCTGCTGAAACTAATAATTTTTATACTGTTGGTCGTGATGGTTTACTTATACGTCATAGTATTAGAGATGGAATTAGACCAGCAGAGAATGCATCCCCTGTAGCCTTATCAATTAGTCCATATGGACATATATTACATGCTGTTAGTAAAGATCGTGTTGAAATTAGTAAAAAGTTGTCTGTAGTTGAAGAGAAAAGCAGTGTCACTTATCCTCCAAGTAAGTTGACTTGTTCATTCATTTTTATGTAATATAAACATTGACTGTGACTAAATTTGTGACTATAATCTGTTTCAAGGGGTGTAGGTTTGTAGTTTGATATTTGATCACGGACTGTTATCGCTTGGAGAGTCAAGTGGTTCAACGGTCAACGAGCTCGCCTCGTAAGCTGAAGGCTGTGGCTTCGATCCCCAGTGGGGTCATGGGTGCGTACTGTTGAAGAAACCCGAACCGGGATGAAACAACTGTACATCACACCTTGGTCTTCTAACTGATATAATCTTTATGTCAAGGTTTGATCATCCTGTATTGTTCTGAATAGTGTTTTTTGCGATCATACAAAATCCTTGCTGAAAGTTATTTTGTTATTCACTTTCAAATTATTGATCAATACGTAGAGTACCATGGTGTTTAGTCATTTCGGTTACACTGAACTCACTCACCATTAGACATTTCAGTATTTAGCAGTTAAATGTGTAATATTTTAGCACTCAGTGATTAGTTTTACTGGGTGGTTATGCAAGCACTGTTGATTACAATGTCAGAGCATACATTTCATCTAATAACACCCGTGTGAAACTTTTAGTATAATCATTCTCTTCACTTGCTATCATTTCTCCTTCAATTGAAATTAATACAAATCCCTACAAAATTTCATAATCTAAATATCAGCCTCCATCTCATTGGTGGCTATTGGATTGGATGTTTTGAAACTGAACTAAGAAGTTGTGACCAGTGTGATCCACCGTGTGTTATGCTGAAGGGGATGCTCATCGAAGACATTAGTTGAGAGAGCAGCAGCATATATCACGGATTGGCCCAAATGGCTGCATAGTCAACGAGTCTGATCTCTTAACCTAGAGATCTTGGGGGTGAACCCTTGTGGTGGCGTCGAAGGTGTGTAGCACTGAAGAGTTCCAAAATAGGACGAAACAGCAGTCAAGTATTAGTGATATAAGTATAAAATCTTAATTTAATCAATCTTAAAAATGATAAAAAACATCATTATCACAAAAGCTGATAAAGGAAACTCTACAGTAGTTTCGGACAAATCTGATTATGTAAAGAAAGTCACTGAACACATTGAAACGGGTCCATATGAGGAAATTAAGAAGCCTGTAGATACAGTAATGAATAAGATTAAGAAATCTACAGTGGATTTAATACGTAGTATGAAGCTGTCACTGGGTAAGTCTAATTGGTTTAATTTAATGCCTAAAACTAATAATGCTAGTAGAATATATGGTACTATTAAAATACATAAACCAGGTTACCCCATAAGACCAATAGTAGATTTCAGAAATACACCAACATATGAATTATCAAAACACTTAGCTCTAATACTATGTCCCATTAGAAATCATTCAAACTCTAGGCTAACTAATTCATATGAGATGAAAAATAAACTAAATGACATTCAACTAGAAAATGATGAAACAATGGTTAGTTTTGATATAACTAGTCTTTATACTAATATACCAATCAGTATGGCCTTAGAAGCAGTTAAAAAGGAACTAACTTCTGATCCCGAACTTACTCATAGGACACAGCTGCCCACTGAGGACATTACTGTAGGAATTCATTTATGCCTCTCGTCTACTATCTTTAAATTCCAGGCCAAAATATATAGACAAACAGAAGGTGTAGCGATGGGATCACCAATATCCCCTATCGTGGCAAATATCTTTATGGACAGCTGGGAAAATATTGGTCTAAATACAGTTAATCCTACTCCAAAAATATGGTGGAGATATGTAGATGACACTTTCACAGTGTTAAAAACAGAACATATCTCTAGCTTCTTGACACACATAAACTCACTAGTAAAGGGAATAAAATTCACATTTAGATCGGAAAATGAACGAGAAGAATTAGGTGTGATGTTAGATTGTAAAATCAAACGAATAGAAGAAGGTAAACTGCACACTAGCGTTTATAAAAAGCCAACTCATGCTGCTAATAGATATTTAGACTGTAATTCATCTCATCCGTTGTCTGTAAAGGCAGGCTTAGTCAAGTGTCTAACAAATCGAGCGACAGCCCTCAAGTACTATTTGGTTCTCAATTGTTCCCTAACTGAAGTCGATTCATGGTCAAAATACACAATTTTGTGCCTTGAATTATCTTTTTTTTAGAAAATATACTTTTATTATTATTATTATCAGGTTTTCTTATTCTTTTTTTCCAAATCTTCCTCCTTTTAGTCCACAGCAGTATGAAGAATCCTAATCAAATGACTAATCCTGGTCGTCGTTCCAGTTTGAATATATTTCCACCAGGTTATTATGCTTCTTCGAATTCCACGTCTACTCCAGCGGCCACTTCCACTCCTACTACTACTACTACCACTACCTCCACTACAGGTAATGGTACTTTAACCGGTACAAATCCTGAACTTCCAGCAGTACCAGTCACCTCTGCTAATACTGATAAAGTATTAAGTAGCTTATCGGAGCCAACAGCAGCATTAACAACAACGACAACAGCAACAACAGCTCAAACTGGTACCACTACAACAGCCTCCTCAGATCAACCTGTTAGTAGTAATAACAGTACTGCTAGTAGTGCTACAAATAATAACATGACCAACATCTCTACACTTCCTACGGTTACTACATCTGTTACTGTACATCAGACTAGTACAACTGTGAATGAGTGTACAGTTACAACACCCGCAACAAATAAGCTACCTAAGTACATATCTAACCTACCTCCAATGGGATCATTGAAATCAGCAAAATTATTTGTTTCACAAGCACACAGTCTTATGTTCCATTATGAACCGTGTTTAGAGGTATGTTGAATTGTTTTATATGTATTTAGTGTTTTGTCTTGTTTCTTGTATATTTTTTTATAAACTTTAAGAAACATTGGTGCTGTGTCATATCTTTCTTTTAACTGTCATTCTTGAGAATGGACTCCATTTTCTTGATATTAGTCACTCGTGTTTCTAACTACGTTGTTTGGATCTTTAATCGGTCGTAAAATGACGATGTTCTCATTACTTACCGGATGTTTTATTGCTGCTTGATGTAATTTAGACATGATTTCAGATTGTGGAATTGGTGAAGAAATGTACTGATTGGAAATATCGACTGATCTTCACTGGATCCAATATTTTCTGTCGTCACTGATGGGATGTAAGTCGGTTAATTGGTTGAATAGATCGTCGAATTCGGGCCTGTGGATCTAATTTACTCGTATGTTTTCTTCGGACGTGGAACTTAAATCTGAGTTAGAGTGTGTCATTCTCAGTGCGTTTTAGCTTCATACTTGACAGATTAATAAAATACTTTTCAGGGTTTTCAAGAAAGCCTTAATAGGACTTTTCCGTCACCAGTGTCTTCGATAGGGTCTTGAAGGAGTTTAGAGAAGTTCTGCACCGTAGATCTAGGAAGTGATTTATGAATTTCATCCTGCAAACGATGTCTAAATCAATGGCGACATTTTTGAACGAACTAGCTTCCCAGTCTCAGTTTTGTAATCAGCAATTTCGTCGATTGAATGTGGGATTTTGTACACGTGTAAGATTTTTAACAGAGGGGAGAAGTTAGCAAGAACGATAATTTTTCATAAATTGACGCAGGAAACAGCATGAGCATAAACACTCATCATAAAACTTGAGACAAGTAACTTATCGGAGTATTCTGCAACACACAGTTACTAAACTATCCAGTGACTTGAGAGATTCAGCAGGGAGTCATTTCTTTAAAAACTTCATGTTCAGTATCTTTTATTTAACTTATCTAAGAATAGCATTCCGCCTCTTATATACAACTTTGGTTCTTGATAATGATCAGGAGCCAAAATGTTTTTCTTTTTAAAACGCCATCCACCAAATACAACCTCTTGGATCTTGGCCTTAAGCACTCAATTCTCATCCAATGGGTCCCGGGATTCGAACCCCCCTCGTTATTTACCCCAACCCGGAAAACTAGGTAGTACCTTTAACCTTCACTTAATATGTGTGGCTTGTTACAGGTGAGTTCTAACATAATTCTGATTCAATTTGTGCAGAATTGTAATTCACTGGATTAAGAACTAATAACTCTAGTCATTCAACGACAAGCTGAAATCCTGTTCCACCTATTCAGGCCTTTGGTAAACAGATACTTGACGCCTATTACCCAAAAGACGAATTTGTATCTGTCCTTATGAAGTAGCCATAAGAAATTGGCTGTTCCATATTTGTCTTGACAATCAAATCAATCATTCCGTGGTCAAACTCGAAAAACAGGTGTGATCCTTACAAACCAACTCTTGAAAATTAATATGATGCTCGCTAGTGACTTGCTGCAGGATGTAGTTTCCTGGAATTCTAGTGAAAAGTCGTGACCGGTGAGGTTCATCCAGTCGGGAGTGAGGACACTGGTTGGTGGTCGCGCCAAATCACGAATTGGCAGAAGTTTGAATTAATGGACCATTGAATCGGTTCCCAGTAGCTGAATGGTATACGAGCTTGCCTTGTAACCGGAAGGCCCTGGGTTCGAACCCTGGCGGTGGGTGCGTACTGCCGATGATCCCCAAACTAGGGTGAAACAGCTGTCCAGTACTTCCAGCTGGTTTCCAATGGTTCTCTAACTGATATTAATCCGTGGTCAAACTCGAAAAACACAACTAATCCTTAGAAATCAACTCTTAAAAATCAAAATAATACCTGTTGAACTGTTCTTTCATTTCGCTTTTTTTCACAAAAAAACAATTATTTCTTTTATTAATTACTTTAGGCAATTTGTCAACCTGACTTAACTGGTTTCAGCAATGCTCTACTACCGGATTTAATTATTGCACTGGCAAGAAATTATAAATTCATTGGGACAGGTGTTGATGCAATATGCAAGCATAATGCTGCTGTTTGTTTAAGATTTGGTCAACCATTTGTAAGAATTATTTTTTACAATATCTTTGATATTATATATGTTATATATATATATATATATATATATATATATACACCTAATGCTCTTCACATGCCAGCTCCTAGTGTAGACACCTCGACGATATGTGATTGTTAATTTGACTCCACTTGGGTGATGGCGGCTAGAACTAGTATCCCAGATGTGTATTTCGTCCTGTCTAGACCTCGTCAATTGCATATGTTGGTGTTTCACTACAATTTATGATGTTCCCACTAGAACTTAACCAACACTCAGCACCCATCGTTTCCAAAGCTTATAGTGTTACCCACTACACCCAGTGGCTAAATTAGGTCAGCTAGATTGTTATTTGTATTTGTGACTATGAATCGATAACAGCTAAAGCATTTATGTGTGTTTGTGTGTGTTGTTATTTGATATATTGATGTGTTGTTTGTAGTAAAGTGTGACAACGTGGTTATGCATATTTAACAACTCGAAATGATTCATTGGGACCAGAATTTTTCCTTTTTGTTATTTTTGTTTGATTTCATTGATTGACTGACTGACTGGTTGATTTACTGAGTTCCAATGTAGAACTTTGCACAGAAATGTGGCACTTCAAGTTGCCACGATTTTGAGCCATATCATCGATTGTCTCCAGCTATTGGTTTTTACCGTCCCGAAGACCCCAACGAGGAAGTCTACACCTCCCGACGTGGCTGGCTTAAATTAACTGTTATGGATTTCATTGATTGATGAAGTCATGTTAGTTTCGGTTTGACCACCACTGGCTAACTCTTTTCCAACCTGATCCTATGTCATCTAACATTGTCCATCGAGGAAGTTGATGGCTAGACATGCGTAACACATGTTTTAACCATCTCAGTCGATGTAACTTCACAACCTCGTCGATTGATTTCCCCTCGTTACTTAGCATCCCACTGAGGCCTAACCTCAATATTGCTCACCCTTTTATACCACTTAACACGAGATACAACGCAGACACCTATGATCAAAGACAGCAAGCCTTTTCGTATCTTCCACTTTCAATAGCCATGTCTCATAGCCATGGAGGAGGACGGAGCGGACTGCTGAGCAGTACACCCGCCCTTCAGTCGATAGCCGGATATCACGTCTACGCCAGAGACGGCGTAAACTGGCATATGCGAAACTAGCCTTCTGTATCCCTGCTGAGATTTCGTCAGAGATCAACCCGCTGCAGCTGGTTGATGCAACTTCCCAATGAGTGTAGTGGTCAACACTCTCTACCACTTCACTCCGTATTTCTAAGCTAGGAGTCAAGGTAGTCCAGCCTTGTTACATGATCTTACATTTGGCGGGAGTGAATCGCATGCCAAACATTTGCACATTGCAGCTCAAGGTGTTCAGAAGACTCTGTATTTTGTCAGCGTCCTCACCTAGGAGGCAGGACTATATCATCTGCATATTCTAAGTCAACGAGATTATTCACTGGTGTTAACAAGTCAATCCTTGAGACTCTGAAGTGAGTTAGGGTTAAGTTCATTAGTACGGTATCTATGATGAAGTTGAATAGAAATGGGGATAGTGGGCATCCCTAACGTACACCACTAATTGTCACCACTTCAGATGACAACTCGCCGTAAGCTGTCACCTGGCTGGCTGCATGAGTTCGAATAGAGTGAGTGCCTTGATCACTGCAATGTATTTTCTCGCTATTCCCTTTACAGTCAAGCATCGACATAGTACCATATTTTACTGCATAATTTCTCAAATTCCCCATTGAATTAACTTATTTCCCCCCCCCCCCTATTTAGTTAGTTCAATTCTGGATGCTATTACGTTCAGTCTATGGCAGTTCTGGTACTGATTCTCTTAAACGTACATCTCAACAGCATGCATCACAACTTCAATTACAAAAACAATCACAACAAATGGTGAATATTTACAATCGACCAGACTTTGACTATCAACAGCATAACAAAACTGTTCAGTCATCATTCACTAATGAGAAAATCGCTTCATCTGGTTTTGGTGCTGACTCATCATTTGTGCATAATCAAAATGCTAAAATGACTGTGAAGCATTTTCAACAGCCTGGCCTTGAAAAACGTAAACAGTGTGATGCGAATTCAAATAATAATAATAATGATAATAATAAAAATTCAACAGGAGTTCGATTATCATCTATTTTAGAGTCGTTAGGTTTTCGAGATCCCGATGGAAGACAAAATGAAAAGTTAACATCTAAAATTAAATTAGATTATAGTAAGAGTTTTTTTTCATCTTTTCAACATTTGAATTGACTTGTTTGACTTTTGTATACTACTTGTTTCGAATCTTTACCACTTGGTTGTTGATATGAATTGGTAGATGGTGGATCTGTGATCGTAGATTTAAATATTTTTATTCTCTGTGTGAAGATTAGTGAGATTAAGATTAGAGAACTTGTTACTTTACATGATTTTAACACTGTACTTCAATCTGAGCGATAGAGAGGAGTACCGTCAATCCTCAGATAATATGTGTGACTAATAGCATGGTACATAAAAAATCAAGTCCAGATAACTGAGTTTTGGAGACAGTGGGCATCCTTGACGGACACCACTGGTTGTCACCACTTCAGATGACAACTCGTCGTAAGCTCTCACCTGGCTGACTGCATGAGTTCGAGTAGAGTGCCTTGATCAGTGCAATGTATTTTCTCGGCATTCCCTTTACAGCCAAACATCACCTCTCGGTCGACGGAACCGAATACCACCTCCAGCTCAAGGGATGTGACAGTTGTTGGACTCCGGTAAGAATGTCTATGTTCTAGAATCTGTCGAAGGGGGAAGATATGGTCAATGCACCCACTTTTTGGTCTAAAGCCTGCCTGGTTCTCTCGTATTTGTTTCTCCCCAGCACCATTTAGTCTATGCATGATTATTGAGCCTAGAACTTTAGATGCCATATTGGTCAAGCTAATCCCCCTGTGATTATCACAGGGAAACTTGTCTCCTTTCTTGTATATCGGGATAATCAATGACTTAAACTTCCTCTGATTCCCAGACGCTGCCTAATACCTTAGTTACCGTAGACAGTAAACTGTCTCCTCCTCTAGAGTTATTCCATCAGGTCTTGCAGCTTCGTCTCGTTTCAGACAAGTGACAGCCTTAGTAACCTCAGTTAGGGACAGAGGACTTGTGTTTATATCCCATTCAGGGAGGTTTTGGTTGCTGGGTGAGTTAAGCATGGCTGTAGGCCAATTGAATTGCTCTTCAAAGTGTTCTCTTTCCAAAGTTCCAGTCGTGTATCCTGGGAGCTAATTATGGTGTCATTTTTCTCGGAGATTGTTTCACTGTTTTAGGTTAGCATCAGTTAATAAATCACAACCTTCTGGTTAGAGTCCGAAAGATAATTCGAATCGGTGGATCGAGACGTTATCAGATATAGCAAAGATGAATATTATGCAATTCCCTTCTTTCTTTCCTTTCTAAAAGTCAAATGAAATAATGAACCATCCTTTGAATGAACTTGACAAAAGTAATTTTCACTTGCTTTCTAGATGATGTCGCTGATTTATTCCATCCCTATTTTCCTGTTATATTGTGTGGCACATCTCTTGGTGCACATAATGTATTAAATTTGTGTTCTTAATAGCAATAATAATAATTAATAACAGGAATCAATCATTAATGTTTAAGTTATACACTCCGCATACCGTTAACTTATCATACGTATGTGTTAAGAAACACTCCGTTGTTACATTGTCCACCTGATTGATTCTTTTATCTTTTTCAGGAAGACATTCATCCGGAAATGTTAAAACACGTCATCTGCTGTCTAAACAACTGATTGACATTCCACCAGTTACACAAAGATTTCTATCGTATTCTGGAACAGCAGGTGGAGTCGGAGGTGGTGGTAATATTCCACCAGCTGTATTCTCTGCTATATCATCTTCAACTAATCCCTGCAATGAAATCTGTCTACCGAATTCCAATAATGAATTAATTCTGCGTACAAGTCAACCTATTCCTGTTAATATTAACTACAATTGTTTACATAAATCATTAGCAGCAGCAGCATATGATAATGATGATCAGCATACCTCGTCGATCCCGTCATCAGGATCACCGCCACTTATACAACCACCACAGTCTATTTTAAGAAATCTTGATCAGGATATGTCACCACCTAATGGATTATTATTTAGTAATTATCGTGAAGATATTGACTACTTATTTCACACTACAAATCACCACCAGCAACAGCACCACCAGTCAGCAACTGTCCAGTCATTTGAAAATGATTCATGCAAAGGGTAATTTTGTAGTACTTTCTTTTTCTTACATTGGGTTCCATGTCGTCAGGAACTATTTTGTAGAAAATGTAGCGGTAGTTTTTTTTGTTCCCTTATGTTCCGAGAGGAACACACGGCTTCAAGCTAGAGTTTTGAATTTCGGATAGCAGTGGTGTTTCATTTTTACGGAAAGGGGTTGATAGTCTCACGCCCGAACTTCCCTCCTTACCGGCCTTACTATCGGCTTGGCGAGATCTAGGAGTGTGTCGGCTGGGGTTCGAACCCTGGACCACATGCGTGGTTGGTGAGTGTTTTACCGCTGAGCCATCGATGCAGGTAGCGGTAAATAATTTCCTAAAATCATTAGACTACAGCATTATTCACTCAACACTGGATACTGACTTTCACTGTTTTATTCGATTTGTTAAGGTGAAGGTCCGCAGTCACGCATCCTTGGCATTTGGCACTGTGTCGTGTTACGTTCAGTCGTCCACGCACGATCGATCCCTGGCTAGCTCTCTTCTATTTTCTGCCGTCCTCTTCAGCTGGGTCCACGATTGCCCTAATCTTTCATCTCTTCCTCCTAACATGATCTCCTTCATGTCAACCTCGCACCAATGATCCACTTGTCGCTTCCCATTCGGATCCCACTCGAGCAATAGTCTGGATTGCGCGCTATATCATTCCACGGTCTCCTCAATGTATGCCCGATCCATCTCCATTTTCTCTTACATATTTGTTGGGCGGTCGGCTCTTGGTTGGTTTGTTCCCAGCTAGAGTTTCTTGTTGCCGATTCCTTCTGGCTGGCCATTTGATCTTCATTATGGAGCCAGAGAAGGTGGCAGCTGTTGATAAAAGTCGGTAACATGTTGGAAATCCTTTTCGTGACACGCAGTGCAGGTTTCTGATCCATATAGAAGAAATGACTGACTTCACATTTGTGTTGAAAATCCGAATCTTGTTGTTTATGCAGTGCAGAAGATTCGCAAACTGGTTTCAGGTTGATGAAGGCGTATCTTGTCTTTCCGATTCTGGCTGGCTGTGACGTCTTCATCCGTTACGGCTGCCTGTAGTTGAAACGATGCTTACTGCTTAGATAAGTGAAGGCAGGAAGTAACCTCTGTCGAATCTCTCCCACTAATGGTGATTGGTGCTAGTTGTTGTTATTGTTGTCTTCTCTATGTTCACCTGGCTGCTTCTTCAGCCAGTTTGTTGCTTTTCGCCTGTAAATCTTCGAGTTTGTCTAACATTAGGCATAAATCATGTGCGAAATCCAGATCTTCTAGAGTCTTCCCATTGGTAGTGGCCAGCGTATTCTTGTCTTCTCACTCCCAAGCACAATCTGACGCATAAACAAATTAATATGGAATTAAATGCTACCACAGTGCCCAAGTTTTACACTTATAGGCATACTGTTAAAGTTCCAAAATGTCACATAGTTAATTGCTATAAAGGTATTTATATATGGACATTTTTTTAAAAAAAACAGCTAGAATATCAGTTGCGCCGGTTGCTATTCTATGCTCGAAAATAACCTTGCGATGACTTTTAATCCTCACTATTATAATCGAAATATTGTGTAAAACACAAATTGAGTCTTCATGGAAAATTCCTGTTTTAATTTTTCCTTTATTCCTTTTATTCTACTCCCTTGCAGAAGACCAAAGCAGTTGGATCTTATTGAAGGTAATGGTTATAGTTAGAAAGTTACGTGTGTAATACTTTTTGTTTAGATTTTCTGTAAAATAATTGTTATACATTATTTGTGTTGGTTTATGTTTGTGACTAAACCTAATTAGTCTTGTAGAGGGCTATCTTCTAAATGAGAGTTATTCATCGTTAAAACCGAGGTTGTTTAACGTATTACTCTTTGGACATGCACTGCGAAATAAATGATGTTTCATATTTTTAGCCTGATTGTACATACTACTGATTGATTGATTTATATAAAAGAAAAGGCGTTCAGCGAAGAGTTACTCCTTTCGACGATATCATTCTCAAGCTGTACATCAGCATATATCTATAGTTAATTTTCTTAGAAACAAGATTTTTCATTAAAATTGTAAATTTTAAATGACAGACTGCATAATGTAGAGGGAGTCAATCGGGTAGAAACTAAAATAATATTATTAGGATAGTAGATTTTAGATAACAAATAAGATTAAATAACCATATTGAGTGATGTAATCTAATTGAAAAGGTTAATTAGAGCTCAACTAAAATTAAAATTGAACAAAAGTCAATTTAACAACAGTGATAATAAGGGGTGGGGGAAGAAAATATTATACAATATTAAAAAGCAAACAAGCAAGAAAAAGACGAAACAAAAATTGTGTATTTGATGTTAAGATAGGTTAGACCCACTGTAGACTCAATGACTGAACAAACGTCTTCTCTGTACACAGTCACGGATTTAACATGTGGGGATCGTCGTTGCTTCTGTAGTTTGAAGAAGTTTGATTCGTACTCTTTTAGCGAGATTTCTGTGTACTTTGTAGATCATTTTGAAGTTCCTTTGTGGATCAGCTTGGAGTCCAGACTCGATTAAGTGTTCCAGAATAGAGCTTCGGGGGACTTTTTTCTCCTTAATAAAGCCGTGAGGGTAAGTGTTCTATGATATGTTTGAATAGCAAACTCTGGGTACGGCCTACATGCCTAGCTCCACACGAGTTTGTGAATTGATAGATACACATTGATGAGGTGGCCAGCTGTGGTAGCTTATCTTTCACGTTCATGTGAATCATTGGTTTCTTAGAGAAGGCTATTCGAAGTTCAGCCGCGAAGGTTTTCTTCAATGATCGGCACTAGCGGTTTCTCAGTATCTCATTTGATGAGTCTCCATTGAATTGTGGATTCAAGTAGAGAAGTTTTCTGGGGGCAGAAAGTGTGGGTGGTTCTAGTAATTTAGGCTTCATGGGTTTTGTGATAAAACGTTCTGCGTAGCCATTTTCCAGGAGGATTCTTTTCAGAGTGTTTAGCTCCTCTTCCATAGTATCAGGGCTACAAATGCTGCAGATTCTGTGGCTCAGTGAACAGATCAGGTTTCGTTTTGTATATAAGGGTACTCAACTATGAAAGTTAGTGAGTTGCCAGTTCCATGTTGGCTTTCTATAGATGGATCTTTTTAATGTTCCAACTTGTTAAGTGAACGTCCAGAAAAGATATTTTTGTATCTGACTCCTTTCTGATGTGAACTGAATTGCTAGATTGCAGCTGTTAAGGAATTCCCAGATGTTCTCCAAATCCTTCTCATTGTTGGGCACAATGAAAGTGTCGTCCACGTATCTCTTGTGAATCCAAATTGCCAATCATTTTCTTTAGATATGTGTTTCTAGTTTTGACGTGAAAAAGTCTGCAAGCGACGGGCCAGTTTAGTGAGCCCATAGCTATACCATCTTTTTGTCGACATATTTCGTCATTGAAAGCGAATTGGACGTTTATTTTACACCTCAATAGGAGTTCCTTCAAATATTCAGTGGGTATACTACATATTTATCCCCCTTGAATCAATATTTTCACATATGTTTCAGTTAGTGGGACGTTCGTTCTAGTTTCAACCCGATTGACGCTCTCTACATTGCGTAATTTGTCATCTGAAATTTACAGTCCTAATGACAAATCTTGTTGCTGTGAATATATATATATATATATATATATATGCGATTGTACAGCTTAAGAATGATATTGCTGGAAAGAGTAACTCCTCCCTGAACACCTTTCCTTTCATATAACTCAATGGGAATTTTTCATTTGATTGATATGAAGAAAATAAAAGACAAATTCAGCGAAGAAAATTTTCTTTATGGACGAAATCATCTTCCGAGGCTGTACAGTCGTATTTATATTTACCAAAATGTATAGTAGTCTATTATTAAGTGACAGATTAGGGGTGACATAATTGATATAATTACTCAGAAGTGGCTTTGGAAGTAAAAAATAAAAGTTGTAAATTACGTGGTACTCAACAGAACAAAGGAAGAAAGCGTTCGAAATTTGATAAGGTTAAAATTGCAATTGAGTAATAAGAATAAAGGTAGTTGAGTGTCAATTTAACAAGTGTGAAGAGGGTGTGAAAATGTACAAAAGGAACATATGAGAGTGATAATAGTGAATTAATTATTAAAGTAAAAGCAAACTAAAGTAAAGTTAAACAATTAAAAATTTACAGGGAAAGACTAGTGAAGAGGTTAAGACCATGGTAGAATAAGAGACTGGACAAACTTTTTCTGTATACAGAGTTCGCGGTTGTATTCACGAATTGCTAACGCCTCCGTCATACACAAAAGCCGAAACCTGACGCCCTTCGTACCATTTGGCCTCACCTTGTAGATGATCTTGAAAGACGACTCTGGTGGAGCTGCGTTTCCTGAGTTCACCAAGTGCTTGAGAATTGAGCTAGTAATTGTCTTGCATTTTCCTTTTGCTAATCATGCCGGATAATGTTCAGAGATGCGTTTGGAAAGTGTGCACTTTGTGCGGCAGGTGAATTTATAAACACACATTGAAGTGGTCCAAAGCGGCAGTTTATCCTTCACACATCCGTTGATCATTTGTTGGCTGTAGAAATTGATACATAGCTCAGCCATAAAAAAGGTTTTCCTCAGTTATTTCCATAAGCGATTCCGCGGGATCTCAGCTGCGGTATCACCTTTAAGTCAAACGCTCATAAATAGCAGTTTCTTCGGCACCGTCTGAGTTCTTTCAGGCTTTTGCTTTAACTTCATGTTTTTCTCGATAAATCTTGGAGGATATCCATTCTCTGTGAGAACTTGTCTGAGTCGCTCCAGTTCCCCGTCGATTGTATCACTGAAGATGATTTCGTCCATAAAGAAAATTTTCTTCGCTGAATTTGTCTTTTATTTTCTTCATGATTGAAATGCGTAGTTGGATACCACTCAAATCAATCAGTAGTGCTCACTGTCCAGATCGAAGTGATGTAAACAAAGGACGACAGCAGTTTCACTTGTTTAAGGTCGAGCCTATCAGCAGTTTAACCAGTTTGATTTTCATTCATTGTATCAAGGAAATCGTGTATTGTGATCTAAATAATTTCGGTTTCCAAAGGGAATTGTGATGAAGTGGCACATTGTGAATTCACTTCCATACTTCAAGTTTACTGAAAATCTGTCTGGTTTCTCATTCACACTACAATGGTATATCAGATTTCTGTATTGAATTATTTTCTGACAACCTAGACAACAGAGCCATCAAATGTACTATTGTATTCTCACAGATTAAAGCATCTCTGATAGAATTTGAAATCATTTGTTCCCAGACAAGTTACAGTATAACTTGGAGTAATTTAAGAAGGGTTTTAAAGTTATAACAGTTGGAAAGCTCTGTGTTTTAGGATATCAGGTCTCATGTTGTAAAGGTTAGTAATTTTCTTCCAAATGATTGTCATTTTTATGCTGATTTCCTCACGAGCCGGCATCAGGTAGAGAATGATTGAAAACCAGGGAGAACTAGACAGCTGTTTCTCCCCCCCCATTTGGGACACTTCAGAAGAGCGCACACATAAGCTCGCTATGCTTAAACCCCTAGACATTCACAATACTAGGCGAATTCGCTGACCATTCAACTACTGGAATGAAATCCAATGTAAGTTGACGATATAAATCTATCGTCTATGAGTAAGATAAACATCGTCGGTTTCAATTCTTATACTAATGAAGAGTCCAGTACTCCCAGGCTTTCCAAGAGTTCTCTGACTTACGTCAACTCGTGATCAAACTTGTTGTTATTAGATGGTCGGAGGCAATCGGCAGGAAACCTTGGACCTAGGTTCCATGAGTGTTGTCTGCAAGGCTTATCTGCAATCTTGGAGGAACTCACGTCCCTAAAGAGATTCGAATCCGTTTCACCCAGTGCTGCAGTCAGCGACATTGCCAGTGTGCTATTCACGCTCGGGATTGTCTCCAACCATCTAATAACAACAATTCACAGTGCAGTGTGATGGCAAGTCATCTAGAATGGTGTCTACATTGCAAACTTGGCTGATAGAATTCAGTCTACACCAAACAAAGGACCAGATACATTACACCAGTTACTAGCTGGCGTTCAATGAAAGCACTCACCACTCTAGTTCATTTGGTACTTTACCTGTTGATTTGACCGTTTTGTTTTTGAGAATTAAGGTTGATTAACTATAATGAACTGAATCGAGTCTTAATGGGAACACCACCACTATTTATTGGGGGTCCCAGGCACATGCTGGATTCCACTGCCAATCGCCATCCATGCAGTAGCAATTCAAACTGCTTTAAGTTCTAAGTGTTATTCGAGCTGTTAATGCTTAAAGCAGAGCTTTCAACAATATCCCAGTTGAAATGTTCACAGTAAATTTAGGATTTCTTTCCCTAAATATACAATCTGAAAGAGCACTTTCAATTCACCACCTGCAACCTGTGATGCACGTGACTCCTCTAATCTCTTTTAAATCGATTGTCAGCTCACATAGTTGCGTATTATTCATTTTGTCAATCTGTGCACGGCTTGAGAATCTTTGTTTAACATATCGATGGACAACACCAGTCTGTGGATATTTTTTGTTATTTTTTAAGTCCATCTATGATTCCTATTTGCATAACTTAGCTTTCATGACAATAGTAATTTTCTGTTGCTTTTCCCACTCTTCTGTATTACACAATCACAGTGATTGGTTCACGTGATGATCCTGTGATCATGAACACAGAATATTTACCTGATGAAGCTTTTCCTACAATTGCACATCCCTTACAAGAACATAATCAATCACCAAATCAAAAAGAAGAATCCTGCCATGGTCATAATCAACAGAAGCATCAAAAAGTGAAACAACGCAAAACAGTTGGACGTAGTTCCGCCGGTGATATTCGTCATACTACTACCACTACTGCTAATACTACTCCAAATAAAAGCAGTGGCAATAATAACTTTAATGTTGTCTCCTGTTCTACAGAAACATCAGTGTCGAAAAGGAATGAAGCATCTTCAAAACCACAAAGGAAATCAATGGATTGTACTAAAATTCTTACTTCTAAATGTCGTGAACTGTCGTTAGTCGAGTGGGAGAATAGACAGATTCTACCATCATCAAGTTTTCCTGGATTACCATTCACTATTTCACCAATGAAAGAAGTGAAAACGTATGTAATATTATTTATTAGAGGTCCCCCAGTGAATATATGTTTTTCGAACCAGTGTATATACTGCAAGTATATTGAACTGCTCGCGTGATTCAGTTGTACGGGGGTTCGTTTGTGCTCCAAATAGTCTCAGTAAATTGTACTGTTTCACTGAAAGCATAAACCATTCCATCTCATGATTGCTTACCTGGTTGTTGCGTCAAGTAGTTTGAGGAGCCCATTTTTATGCTTTTAGTTGGGAGTATAATAGATTATGGGCATCGAAAAGTGCGCAACACAAAATCGTACAGTTTGTGCGAGGGTTGAGATACTTCCCGGATGCCCAGATCAAAGCCAGGTCATTGTCTTAAGGGAGTTACATCCCGAGTCTTTGACTTGAAGTCTAATCCACTAGGCAGTGGATTAGCATCAGGAGCTACGTTTCCATGGTTTCCGGTTATGTATTTTGAAGCTCATGTACACCATAGTTGTGGAATCAATGTTTTCAGTTTCCCTAGGTAGGCACACATGTCTATCAGTTTGGTTTTAGGCGCCAGTCCTTCGCCTTTTCACTTCTGTGAGAGACACCTCCGCGGCGTGAAGGTAGTGAATAAAATTTGTCTGTTTGAGGCTACGAACGCGTGGTCTTTCACGAGCATTTCGAGAGGAAGACTAAAGTCTACCTATCCGTCGTCGGTCGTACCACGTTGTTTGTAAGAGCCCTTTAATTTTCCGAATATGTTGCATGTTCTCAGTGTTCCCAAAGAATGTCTGAAATCTACTCGCAATAGTTTCAATTTTGTGCTATTTTCTCTTTCTTTTACAGTATTCCCCAGGATCAACCAATCATTAATCCCGATCCTTCTAGTGATCAAAGGAAAAAAGTTGAAGAAGGATTTCAAGCCAGCAAAAAGCATTCCAATGAGACATTAGTTAAAAATGATAATGATGAGGATCATGAGGATGAGGATGGTGACGATGATGATGATGATGATAATACGCCTAAGAATCATGTGTCAAATTCATCTGCATCAGAATCACCTTCTTCTTCCTCTTTGACTAAACAAAAATCCCCATTGGGTAATTCTAAAAAACAAGTACAACTATTAGCACCATGGCATCATAGTATGTCATTGTCTGGTTTAGATAAAGAATCACTTGCACTGCTGAATGGGCATACAATCAATCCAATTGGATCTTTATATCCTATAAACAGTGAAATTAATACAATAATTGGTAAATGGTTCAAGCAATTGGTAAGTATAAATGGATGTGTTGTGGATAACTTCTACAGTGTGGTAATATTTAATTCCATATTAGTTAATTTATTGGATGTAATACATGGAGTGAAATAGTATTATTCACTGAACGACACCTCGAGCACAAGTGATTCTTCATAATCATATCAGTTATAACTACACAAATTCGAAACTTCCGTTTTATAGTTTTCTTTTCTTTTCCTTCCTATTTGTCGTCTTAGGGGTAAGTAGAATTTTCCAGATTTCCCCGGGACGGTTGTTGAATCACTCCTACTACAAGTATTTTCAGTTGATTCGATAAAATAAAGCCTCCATTATCAATCTCTCTCTCTCCAACATATTATATTCGATTTTAGGACTGTCATCTTATTCCATCCATCCTATTGTATGGTTGTGTGTGTGTGTGTAATTGCATGTAGTGAGTACTATAGCTGAACTATTCTTCGAATTTCTTACCTTATTCTGGTCAACTAATCTAGATTTTGTTAAGGTTATGTGCTCCTCTAGTTTGACTCACCCCGTTCTACTACTTTAAACTGACACTCATTGTAGAGTATTACATAAACTAAATTATTTTGTCCAGTAGGCTCAAGAGGATCCTTTACTTGAAATATTTTGATTCTGAGTGAGTTTGTGGGTTTAAATACCACTTTTGCATTCCCGCACTGTTAAGAATTCTACGTAGTTTTTCCGAGATTCCTTTCTTGTATGCATGTACGACCGATGATTTAAACTCCTTATTGTTGGTGCTGTCATCATTCCGTGCATATTTGTCATGCGTGTCGTCATTATTATTATTTTTAGATTTTCCTACATACTTCCTGATTAATTTATCAGGGTAATTATTAAGCTTCAAAGCTTCTCTTATATGTCTCACTTCCTGTCTTAGATTTTCTTTGGTACTACTTAGTTTTGTGCTCTATTGTCACTTAAACATTTTACCAATCCTATTTTTTTTACTGACATAGGATGGGATGATCGAGAATCCAAATATCTGTTCGAAGGTGTGGGTTTTCTGTAAACACTAGTGTTTAACTTCCCATCTTATTTCCTTTTTCCGCTACAATCTAACATTGGAAGCTCCCTTCCTGACTTTCTAATTCATGAGTGGATTAGATTACCTGTACCTTCGAGTTGATGTGTTTTTTTTGTACAATTCGTATACATCTGAATATACTTGAATCATTGAGCTACCTAAATTTCCTATCCATCTAAATGCGTCGTGTTTACTCCATTTCACATTGTTTTAATGATTTAATTATGTCTAAGAAACGGAATGTTTATTCAGGCACATTTTCGAAATAACTTTCAAACAACTGGTACAAATTTTCTGACGGAAATTGAGGAGAAATATTGTGGATCATTGGAGCATGCTTCAGATAAAAGAATAACCCTTCAGTTCATATATATTATCGTTTATCATTATATTACTTAAAGATTTTACAAAAGCAGTAAATACCTTGCAATAAGAAAGTTGCTGAGAATGCTGTATTGTGTATAAACTCATTTTTGCAGAATACAGCTATTAGTAAATCTTAAAATTTGAAGAAATCTTTCATTGTCTTCAGTGGTTCGATGATATGACCTACAAGAATGTGTCATCCGTAGTTATAATGCTCTGTTTACTCCAGTAAGTTACCAGCACCGTGTGTGTGTGAAGTAGTCTTGCTTATCTGATTCAGAGTTTCCGATGTAGACGATTAGTTTTAAACTGTGCTGTACATATTGATTATTTTTCCTAACAAGGTCGACTGAATCATTATTATTATTATTGTTATTGTTTCCTTTAATTCCTAGAGGAACGTAGGGCTTCAGCCGTGTGTCTCCATTGCGTTCTGTTCTCTGCTAGAGTCCTCACTTGGCTCCAAGTCTGTCCACACGTTTTCATCTCCTCTTCACATGACCTCCTCCAAGTCACCCTTGCACTGACGACCAACTCGCCGCTTCCCTTTCGGGTTCCACTCGAGCAATGGCTTGTCTAGTGATGTCACTTGATGGTTTCCTCAGAGTATGGCCAATCCATCTCCATTTCTTCCTGCCTATTTGTTTCACAATCGGTTCCTGGTTGGTTCGCTCATTGCCAGAGATCTCTGTTGCTGATCTTTTCTGGCCAGCCATCTGATCTTAAGCGAAGTATTGAGCGAAGACAACTGTTAATGAAGGTCTGTAGTTTGTTTGAGATGCTCTTTATGACGTGCCAAGTCGCAAACGACTGAATCATAGTCGACTTCATTGACCTGGCTAATGTCGTCGTTGTTGTTGTTGGGACTCAGTTCCCTGGAGTCTTTCTGTCTGTCTAAAGTTGCTGGAGCCGGATTGTAACCCGAGAGGCATTGCCTGAAAGTTGACTGCTTAAACCAATCACCGGCTTGTTCATTAGCATCCTTAGGTTGTGTAATTCTCAATAAAACCAGGTATATTCACATGTTTCACAAGTACTAGTAAACTTAATCACATTTTTGTTTTTACGAGTTGATCACGGATTGATATCAGTTAGAGAACCATTGAAAGTCAGGGAGTACTGGACAACTGCTGTTTCATCCCAGTTTGGGAATCATCGGCAGTATGCACCCACTAGGATTCGATCCCAGGACCTTCCGGTTACAAGGCAAACTCGTATACCATTCAGCCACTGGGACCCGATTCAATGACTCATGAATTCTAACTTCTACCAATTCGTGATTTAGCGCGACCCCAACCATTGTCGTTGGTGGGACATCCATCCACACACGTGACATCTAATTGGACCTCATTTGTCACGACTTCCCACTAGAACTCCAGGAAACTCCATCCTGAAGAAAGTCACTAGCGAGCATCAGACATTTTTGTAATAATATTTTGGAAAAAGTCAGCGCGTAGCTGTATTTTCCAGTGTTATAGAATAAGCATACTCTTGCCCGGAGCTTTGTATATATCCATTACTGCGTTGAAAAAAAACTTATACATTTGAATTTTCACTACTTTTGATTTGCTTCCTTATATGCATAGATTGAATCTGGTCATGTTCAAACTGTGTGCACAGCATTATTGGCCTTAGGTCCGGAACGTTTACGTGTTAGTGAATGGGTTAGTGAAGCTCAATTAGAACATTGGTTTATTTCATATATAGGTAAGTTTTTTTTTGTGATTGAATTGCTTGCCCCAAAAATCAATAAATAATATTGTACATGGATATGCATAACATAAAAATGGAGTATCGCTTGAATTTCTTAGTTTTAAAGACATTCGATTCTCTTATTTCTTAAATTTCCAAATGATTCTGTCCCTGAAACTTAACCAAGGATGGGACTTGAAGACATCGTCTGGTTACTGAGTTGTAATTTATGAATTTCTATACTTTTCAATGACCCAACTTGTGAGTGATTCGATTTATAGATGAATAATAACTAACTCCTCTCAGGTCCTGACGGCCTTGAATTTAATCCCTGATGGACATACATCTATGAACTGTAAAGCATCTCAATTTCCCAATGATTGCTAGTTTTCACCAATCACAAAACTACTGAAAACAAAAGATTACTGGAGAGCTGTTTCATCCTAGTTTGGAACTCGTCAGTAATGTACACTCACCAGCCATTGGATTCCGTCTCAGTGGCTGAATAGTCAGCAGGTTCGCATTGTAACTTGAAGGTTCTGGATTCGATCCCCGGTGGGATAATGGATGCATACTGTTGAGGAGTTCAAGACTAGGACAAAACAGGGCTATCCAGTGCTGACTAATTTTTCAGTGGTCACTCACATTTGAAAAGGCTTATTTGTTAAGTAAACTTTGTCCCTTCAACAAGAATGGGAGATAGAGATTATGCATTATGATGATTAAATGAATTTTTCATAATATAAGAGACTGATACTTTCTCATTTTTCCCACCATCAATGTTTGTATCCCTTTAAAGGATCTAAAATAATCACTTTTGGCCGATCGTAGAATCAAAATTACTTCTATCTGACTATTAATGCGTATGGCTTCTAGGCGTATTAGTATATGATGAGTTCTACTTAAACTTAAACTAGCTTAATATCAGAAATAAAAAGCTGTGTGGTCAGCTGAAATGTGTAATTCAGCTGCTTCTAATGCTTAATCACTCGTCTAAGTTTAATGAATTTAGAACAGCTGGAATTCTGGCTGTCTTGGATAAATACTTTACAGTTGTCAACTTCACATCTAGCCAACAGCATGATTTTTGTCCTCAATGTAAATTTTGTTATTGTTAAACTGTGTTTTGAAACTGTCTAACTTTGATACATTCTATTTGGATACAAAGTGTAAGGAGTGGAAGTTAACTGATGAGATTGTGAACTGGAATGGGTTAAAATGGCTAAGACACGTGTTACGCATACCACACCATCACTTCCCTTGTCGAGTTGGAAAATAGTTAGGTGTGGTCAGACCGAAAACATATTGTCGATCCATGAAGTCGTCGATTATTGGTTAGGGCTAGTCACGTAGGGAGGTACAAACTGCTTGGTTGGAGTCATTGGGACTGCTGGTGATATGTTTCGAAACAGTTATGTGATGGCCCAAATGCATTCACTCTTTGTAATCTCCGATATCCGATAAGTTTTCACGTTTTCCGTATGATTATTGATATAATTATAAAACTTGGGCACTGTGGTAGAGTATAACTCCATTATAGATAAGAATTTATTTTGAATTATCACACAGTGTTGTACAGTTAATATTACTGCACAACACTGTGTGATTTACCGTATGATTATTCTTTCCTCTGTACATAATGGGTAAAGTTAAACAATAACGTCCCAAGGGATGCGAACGTACGAGTGATCTTGAGCCAACCAACCAACCATAAAAATAAGTGACATTTTGCACAAAAAATGACGTTTATTTACAAGAAAATGCATGGAAACACATTAAACAGGGTATTTTTCTCTGAAATGACTTAAAAATACGTCCCAGTTATAATGAGGAGTATCAGTCTTTAGCTTACACCAGTTTCTGCATATGTATTCACCGAGGTGACTTAAGGTGAGCTTGTTTTGTGACCCGTTTATCGCTGTTATCCTGTTTTGTAGTCTTCCCCAAAAGCCGTCGGTTGAATTACTATGGTAAGGAAATCGACGACTACTTGCTGGCAAAATGTGGATGATAAAACAGATTAAAATAAATAGTACCAAATCTAAATCTATCCTTAACCGTAACCCTAACCTTACTCCTGACCCTAATCCTAAACTTCACACTAACCCTAACCTTGATTCTAACCCTAACTATAACCCTGATCCTAACCCTAGACAGCTATTAACACACTATCCAAACTTCACTTAAAAACGTGATCTGGGTGAAATTTTGTCCTTTGTTGGTGAAAATCGTTCATATTTGTGCTGTAGTAATGACAAGTATCCTTAGCCAACAACTAGCATGCGTTCAAGGTCATTGTAGAGTTCGCATCCCTTGGGACGCTATTGTTTAACTTTGCCCACAATGGTTCTTTTGAATTGTTTTTTTTTCGCTGTTGCTTTTACTGTACTTTTGTGCACTATGTGTAATGTGGCTACTTGAACTGCTGCCATTTCTGTGCAAAGTTACACGTTGAGATTTAGTCATTCAGCCTATTCGCATGTCATTAAATCGATTTTCACTGTAAATATCTTGAATATACAGATAAACATCAACTTGTTTTTTCAGTCTTATTCTATCTTGATGCAACATATATTACTGATGTTTCCTGCTTATCTGCTCCATCGCTTTATTGAATCCCCTATCAACAACATGCAGTCTATGAGTATTGTCGAGGAATTATAACAATAGTGATCAATATATTTACTCATCGCATAACTGTTGCGTGTTTGTTTTCTTCTCTCTGTTGATAATTGTTATTTTCGGTGCAATCACTGCTTATTTAATTTTCAATTCAGTCGAATTTCAATCATGAGCACGAATAGCTCAGTAGTAACTTCTCTGCCTGCAACACTAGGTGACGTGGGTTTGAGTCTCAAAAGGGATATGAGTTCCCTCAAAATTTCAGATATGGCTTGCCGACGATTGCTAACAAGCACGAAACCTAGGTCCAAAACTTCCTGCCAATTGCTTTCAACCATCTAATAACAACAATTCAGAGTCCTCCCACCGTGATGGCGAGCCAACTAGCACAGTGACCTTTATTGTAAACTTTACGTGTAGATTTTAGTCTGCACCAGACAAAGAACTAGACGCGTATGACACTAGTTCCTTACTTACTATCTAGTGACCAATAAAAGTAATTTCCTTATCCTTTTACATGAATATTAATCATCAAAGACTCCATCTACTGCAGCCTTCTTTGAACTCATTTACGCTGAACAAATTTTTCATGTATCAGGTTAAGTGTCACATCTACCTAGTTTCCTAGGCTGTGAAGTACATGAAACGGGACTCAAACCTCGTGATGTGTTTTTACTACAAACTGGGCTCTTAAGCCAGTGAGTCGTATCTCCATTCTGATTTTCTACTTTGTGACTGCTGTACGTAGAATAGTGTCTCTTGCAACGCATACTTTCATTTCTCATGTATAATTAGAAATATTTAAATGAAGTAATTATAGATATAGTATGTAGTAGGATTTAATGGAAAGAATATCTTCTTTTATAATTTTCTCTACTAAATAGAATTATTAACCCGTTTTCGACTATGGACGGTATGTGCACGTATAATGAAACAGTGTGGTAATCCTTTTGCCGGTGCTGATAATCAACTGTATTTACGGGAGTACCGTCGAAGTATTAATTTACAATATGTTATTAGACCGATTGTCATGAAACCTACAGGTAATATCTTATTGGATGATTATATATATATATATATATATATATATATACATAAATATATATATATATATAATACCATATTATTTTGTGTATTAACGTCAAGTCAGTTCTTCTATACCGATCAGAAACTTGGCGGGTCACAAAGAATATTTCCAACAGGTTGCAGACCTTTATCAACAGCTGTCTTCGCTCTATACTCAAGATAGGTGGCCGGAGAGAATGACCAACAAGAAACTATGGGAACAAACAAAACAAGAACCAATCACCCAACAAATATGCAGGAGAAAGTGGAGATGGATTGGACACTCGCTGAGGAGGCCGCTGGGTGACATCGCGCGTCAGACCATAGCTCGAGTGGAACCCGAAAGGGAAGCGGCGAGTGGACGTCGAAGGGTGACATGGAGGAGATCGTGTGAAGAGGAATTGAAACAGCATGGACTAACATGGATGCAGGTGAAAAGTACAGCAGAAGGCAAGAGCAAGTGGAGACGTGCAGTTGAAGCCCAATGTTCCACTAGGAACCCAAGGGAACATTAATAATAATAATTTCGTGTATTATATAAATTATACAACGACATAATACTGTCATTTATTAGACAACATTTTGAATACAATTAATCATTCATATTAATGACGTCAAATGTAACCTTACAACTTTGAAAGTCAGTTTTTATACAATCACTTATGGAACTATATGCATGCAGTCACAAACAACAGAATGAGGTGAAATGACAGTGAGGTGGTTTCAATTGATATGGACGACCGATCACTACTGGTTGGTGTGTGAGAGTAGTGTCCGTATCAATTAGCAACATGTACCAACCATGCATTTATGACAGTCGTCCAGAAATCTAATGTTGCAGTGTGTGGAGAGAGGTATTGATTACAGAAGCTTTTTTTTTATCGAATCAGCTGATGAAAATATATATGGAATATGAATAATGCAACACTTCTTCTTCCAGATATCTGGATGATTCTACTATCCCGTACGAGAATTACAAAAGGAAAGAGGCTTTAAACTGGTGAAGTTACATTTTGCTATGATTATGAAGAATAAACTGTTCTCTAAACCATTATCCAGTAAATAATACTATTTCACTATGATGAGGCCTACACTAATAAACAAACTAATATAGAATTATACACTACAACAATGTCGAAGTTTGTACGTTTATATCAGTCTATTGCATACGTTCCTTTCACTGCGTTTCAATCATCTGTGATCCTCTTTTCCTATAAGGATACCCAAGATCAGATTTTTAAGAAAAATTCATCCTTTCTAAAAGTCAAATACTGAGGGATAAATTCTATTGCAAGAAAACCGATCTAATAATTTCAAGATTGACCACATACTGACTTCCAGTCAGAGAACCATTGAAAACCGGGGAGTACCGGGCAGTTGTTTCCTCCTGATTTGGAACTCGTCATAGTCTTCACCCATGACCCCACCAGAGACCGACCCTCGAATCTTCAGGTTACTAGGCGAGCTCGTAGACCATCCAGCCACTGAGACAGGACCCAAATGGTTTGTCAATTTTAACTTTTGCGAATTCGCAATATATAGTGTGACCACCAGTTAATCTCATAGGCAAGTATTTGTCCTCACATCCAACTTTCTGACCCCCTTGGTCATGATTTCCCACTAGACCGCCATTTGTTAGATTACCTCTCATCGTTGTGTGATGTTTTGAGTGGAAACAAAGACTTATTAGATTATTTTATTCAGTAAAATGTTTGGTACAGTAACATTTCGCGTTGACTGTGAATTAATTTGGAAACTACATCAACACTATAGCGTGCCCCAAATCTTTATCAACCTCATTCAACAGCCACACGACAATGCTACGTGTCAGGTGATCCACAACAGAGAAGCCTTTGAAGTGAAGACAGGAGTAAGACAAAGCTACTTATTGTCACCGACGATATTACCAATTGTGGTGGACTGGATTACGCGTCAGATTGTGCACAGGGAGTAAGAATATAGGAAACGTTTGGACCGATAAGAAGACTCTAGATCTGGATTTCACGAACGATTTATGTCTAATATCACACCAACTTGAAGATCTACAGGAGAGAAAAACAAGCACAGAAGGAGCAGCAAAGACAGGACTTCAAATGAACACAGAGAAGACAGGTGATGAAAATAACCAACGAACAACAACAAACACTAATAACTATCAAAGGAATAAAGTTGAGCGAGGCTACTTCCTTCACGTATCTAGGAAGCATCGTTTCAACCACAGACGGCATGGATGAATATATCGTAGGCAGGATTGGAAAAGTAAGACAGACAATCATCATCCTAGAATCAGTTTGGAAATCTACTGCACTCAGTGACATCGCTCACCAGGTCCTCGATTGAAGCCCGGATGGGAAACAATGAGTAGGGCGTCCAAGGATGAGATGAAGGAGATCATGTGAGGAGGAGATGAGAGTCTATGGGCAATCGCTGGGCCAGCTAATGAAAGAATGCTGAGAACACGACAAAGTGGATATATCTTATTGAAGCCGTATGTTCCACTCGAAACTCATGGGAACAATAATGTAAAAATAAAGTATAGATGTTGTTTTTTTAAGACTGGTGATACCAGTAGGTCGAGTGTGCTTTCTACAAATGCCTTATATGATCATCATATGATCTCTGACAATAATTATTTGATTGTTCCTTCACTTTTTCTCCCTTCAAACTCTAACATTCTCGTAAAATTTCCATATAGAATCTGAATCTAAAAATGCTACAAATACTGGAGAAACTCGATCCGATGGAAATACACGTACTCGATGGAAAAGTGGTGGCCTGACAAGTATCGATAATCAGTTTGCTTCACGCAACATGTCTCCCGCTTTAGCACCAGGTGTAGCCGCTTTGAATCAAGCTTCAACCACTCTGTCGATACGTTGTGGTCTCTGTACAAAACCATTATGTGCAAGCGAATCAACTCAACGATTAACTGGACATACTGGTTGGGCATGTTCACGACATGCAACATCATGTGATCCAGCGACAATAACTTGTGCCTTATGTCATTTAGTTGTTCGAGGTTTATTTGTCTGGTGTAGAGGATGTAGTCATGGTGGACACTTAGATCATATGCAGGTGAGCATTTTGTTACTTCTTCACTTGTTAATACCATGGAAATATTGATCTACTGACCTAAGCCTTCGAAATACCATTAGATTTTTTAAAATATCTGTAATAAAGATAGCCCTTGAGTTTGAAAATTCCTATAAAGTAACTTTAATGATAACAACAACTGAGTTGTCGAAGGAAAACATGAGCACGAGTAGATGTAATTAGCTGTTAGGGTGGTGAACAAGAATCAAAGTTAAACTAAATGAATTACATAATCACACTATTAAGTGGTCATTTTGAATAGTCCGTTAATTGATGAAAGCATTTTATTCAGCAGAAAAAAGATATCCAGTGCTTAAATCAAATATCACTAATTATCTTCATATGATTTCATGGTAGAACTGACGAATTTCAGTTGTTAGACCGCTGAGTAACATCCCGAATGGGAAACGATGAGTTGGCTATCGGTCGGAGGTTGAGATGGAGGAAATCGTGTGACGAGGAGATGAAAGCTTATTGGTAATTGCGGAGCCAACTAAAAAGGACTGCAGAGAACAGGATGTTTCACTCGGAATCCAAAAGTACAACAGTAATAAACACCCGAGACGGATTTCTGGAGTAATAGGCTTAGGGTCATACTTAATGTGCCTAGGTTATAGTGGGTGGAGCCGGACTCGAGTCGTGAACCTACTGGCTTGTAGCCGATTGCTTCTACTAGTGAGCCACATCTTCACCAGTGAATGCATAAAAGTGACACAGTTTGATGCGATTTATTAAAAAATCAGCATACGAGTATATTGTCACCTGCTTGTATGAATGCAATAAATATATATAATAGGAAAGTTCAGAGACTCTTGACGAATTGGTATTCAAGATTTTCGAAATTCCATGAATACGCTTTAGCATCAAACACTAAAGTGAACATTTACAGAAAGCCTGATCATAGTGACGATTACACACCAATTTGCATCCATGGAGCATGTGTTTGGGAAAGAGACAGACTCTCTGATGGAATTTCCATCACAATGGCATCGGTGTCTACAGAATTAACTTACCGAAAAGCGCTAATCATATATAATAATTCCGTTCTGAGTGGAACACATAGGGCCTCAAGTGTATGCTTTCAAGCTTCAGTAGCAGTGTTTTTCCGCGGGGTTGGGGTTGCTAGTTCTACACCCAACCTTCCCTCTTTACCGAGTGTACTTACTACTGGCTAAACGATGCTTAGGAGTGTATCGGCCGGAAATTGAAGTCTGGATCACGGACGTGGTTCACTGAGTATATATATAGTCAAATCAACTTTTAACGATAAACTCTACTCATTATTTATCTTTCATTTGAACTTTATCATCTTTTAGGCTTGGCTGATGAGGCGATCTGAATGCCCAGCTGGATGTGGTCATCGTTGTAGATATAGTTAAATAAATATCTATTGATACTCACTTTCGCGTTACTACTGTTGTAAATCATTACGTCGACTGTAATTAACATTTCTTTTTATTTGATTATCTCATATATATACATATATTTATTTTTTACGAACTGAAATGCTTTTCTGGCTTTGTTATTTTTTAATAATTCCGTCTGTCTTTCTCTCTCCGCCCTGCTTAACTTATCCAATCCTGCAATGAAGTATCACTAATAAAAAATATATATATAAGTTGGTTTATTTCTTCCGGAAACAGGTTTTCTTTATGACTTTCATTCACACTGCAATTTTTTCTTGTAACAAACGTGGGTACACTACTACACCTCGGTAGCAGAAAGTCACACTTGTCAACAACTGAAGAATTTAATTTGAAAACTTAATATAATGGGTCGCATTTAAAGAATATTTTCGGATTACTAATTCTGGGAGATAAAGGCTTGACGTGTTATTGTTTTTAAAAGACAGTCATTCTTGTAGATTGTGATGTTATTATTATTCCCTTGGGTTCCAAGCGGAACATAGGGCTTCAGCAGTACATCTCTGTGTCACCTGCGGGTCCGCACCCAACTCGCCGTTTGTCTGACGCAAACTGTCACTACACGATGCAAGCCATCTCCATTTTCTTCTGCATAATTGTTAAGCAATAGGTTGATTCCTTGTTGCTAACCTTTTGTGGCTGGCTATCTCATTGTCATTATATAGAGAAGGCAACTGATGGTAAACTTCTGCAGTATGTTCGAAATATTTTTTGGAGCGCCAGGTGTTTGAAACACATGAAAGTACTGACGTGACATTAGTTTTGCAACTCTGAATCTTGTTCTTCATGCTGAGTGCATCAGATCTCTACATTGATTTCAGAGTAGTGAAGACCTGTCTAGCTTTTCCAATCCTCACTTTGACATCATCCCTACCGCCTGTAGCCAGAATAATTCCGCCTGGATAAGTGAAAAAGTAACTTTCTTCAAATTTATCCCGTTGTTGGTGATTGCTCCTTATTAAAGGAATTCATATTTTATAGTTCAGGGCTTTGTCAGTGATAAAATGTTGTAGTAGTAAATAAATTCTCAAAATTATTAGACCTCAGCATCGGTTGCTGATCTTCACTTCAAGTAAAAACAGTACTTTGGGATTCGGTGGATAGGAACTTGCGTTTGTATACAACGTATCTCGCGCAACCGTCAACATGCCTTCATCTCTTAAAGCGTTAAAGGGTAAGAAATCCGACTGTAGGTAATAATAGTGAAACTTCTAGGATTCTAGTTAAGATAATAAGTTTGTTTCCCTTGCTAAAATCGATTTTGAGTAAGAATATGTGCCTATTAAATTTGATCGTTTCTTTTTTATTAAGTTGACTGTGTCTGCAGTAGTGGCGGAACATCTGAAAATGATGATACAGCAGTACGTTGACATGCTTGACTCATCAAATTTAATCTGCCTTAATCCTCTTTACAAGTTTATTAAACACATTACTACTCCATACATACCCTTAACACACTACTTTACTTTCAGGCTATGCTATACATGTGATCACATCCAATAAGAATGGGATATGGTAAAAATATTAGAAGGTAAATGTAGTTAGGAGAAAAGAGAGAACAATCACCGAATCTTTGTCGCATCGTGTCTACACCGAATGCAGGCAATAGGAATGAACCAACATCTATCACGGATATATGGGAAATTGTATTAGAAAACAAGCAAGTGGGATCAAGGAGCTATATGCAGCAAGTTATGCAGTCGAGTGAATACAATTGATATGACTATGAACAATCAATAGTGCTCCGAAACACTATCCATTACTGTGTATTGTATCAAAATAAACATATCTAAAGAAAGTTACAACGGGCTACCAAGGCTGTTAGAAATAGCCTATAACTCGTAACTTAAGTATCTCTTATCTGGTTTCATCTTTCCAGTGTCCATGAAATCCGGGCCACTGTAAGGATACTTGCGTGATTATCGCTGTCGCTGAAAAAAAAAACTAATTACATCCAACAGCAACACCACTTACGCAATTTTCAGGTGTGAAGATGCGCCTATTCGGACAATGTGAACATACAATTTAAGTAAATGAGATGAGCTTCGGTGATTTGGACTGTGTGTTACAAGTATCAGCCTGTGATTCGTCGACCCATGGGATGAAGAATACTTTTACTCATTTTACCGTTGTTATATTATCTCTCGACTGATAGCTGCTACCTTGACATTGTGGTTGGAGTAGCATATCTATCTATCTTAATCACCCAACGAGCTACCCCCTCTGGAATGAATGTTTCTACAGGTCCTGTACAATGTCAGTAAGATCGTTTAGATAGCAGTTAAGCTAAAAGCAGTTTCATCATAGTGTAAGTCACTCATACTATTTTCGGTGTCTAATAGTAGTGTGATGTTTCCCGGACCCCACTCAATTCAAGACAGTCAACCTCAAGCAGTTGTCTGTGGGCTCCGTGTGCACCCAACGCTAATAATACCTCTCCTCTTTCAGAGAGGAGAAACTTCTACAATGTGGGCAGCCCAGAAGTAATAGTAACCGTCCACATGCTACCATGAGCACACAAGGCTTTCCCGAGCTGTTATAAGATTTTGTATAACTTATTTCTTGATCCCTACGCTGTAACAGACTTGTGTAGATCATATGAAACACTAGCTTGTTTGTTTTAGTATCTCCAAATTTTGTCTATAGCCTCAATTCGCGCTACTTTTGAAATATTGGGAGTTTCAACCGTTACAGTTCTGTTAAAGGTACAACCACAGTTATTGTTTTTTTTTTGAGATATTACCAGGTGGGTCTACATTTCCAGTTAAACAGTACAAGATTTTGAAAATATATTGAATTCATGCGTATATTTTCTAAGTATTAATAAAATATAGTTAATAATAATACATGTTCGAATTTACTATACCACTAAGACTGCAGTTACCACCACTATTCATTCAATAGATGATATGAACAAAAGGGATAGGCAAAAAAACAGTCCCTTGAAAACAAGAGACAGTAGTAGTGGTTAGTGCTGTATACAAAACCACAACATATGGAGACTAAATTTGAATATTCTAGTGTTTTTGTTCTCTCTCTTTCTACATTTTTCTTTTGATATATCATCCCATCGCTAATCGACTTTTAAGTCTTTTCAAGACTGCTTCAATCACTTTGCTTGTCTTACTGTCACCACCTAAATCAGCTGTACGAATTCGCTGTTCGCCAATCACGTAAACAACTGCTTCACGAATTAGATCAGCTTCTCGTGAATGATCTAAAAAAAATTGAGTAAGAGAAAAAATAAACCCATTACAAAAAGGCTTAGTTTTTTTAAAATAAGGTCACGGATTGACCTCATTTTTAGAGGGCTATTGAAAACCAAAGGAGTACTGGACAGCTGTTTCGTTCTAGCTTGCGAGTATTCAGCCACTGGATTCCATCCCAGCGACTGAATAGACAACGATCTCGCGTCACAACTTGAAGGTCCTGGAACCGGTGAGTACTGTTGGGGAGTCCGAAGCTAGGACGAAAGATCTGCCAGTACTCCCTATGATTCTTTCACTGAAGTCAATCGGTGATCTAAATTGAGAAAACGCATCAAAAGACTAAAAATAACACTTAAAAAGGTTTAGTAATTGAATAAAATAGGTCGATACTACCAGAGTGTCAGATAAAGATAATGGCCATCAAAGTCAATATCTCTCCAAAGGAACTAGAAGATGAAATGGACTAATTTTGCCATGTTAAAAAGTCAAAATTACCTTCATCTGACTATTAATGCGTACGGCTTCTAGGCGTACTAGTGTATAATGAGTTGTACTCAAACTTAAACGACCTTAATATCAGAAATAAAAAGCTGTGCTGGCTAGCTAGCTAGCTGAAATGTGGTGTTCAGCTGCTAACATTTTCGAATTACCCATCTGAAATTATGACTTAAGAACAACTGGAATACTGGCAGCTTGGTGTGAATACTTTACGATTGTCAACTTCGTTTCTAGGCAACAACACGATTTTTCCTTCGATGTAAACCACTTTACCCACAAGCGATAACTTTTCAGACTGGCACTGAAATGTTTAGCATGTTAAGAATTCTGTGAACAGGCGGTTCACACAATGAAGCCAAACAGACCTTCACTCTTCTGAAATCAGTGTGGAAATCATTGGCATTAAACATACGAAACATGATCCAGATTTTCAACATTAATATCAAGTCAGAGGCTTGGTGCGTTAAAAAAAAGCATTTTCCACACGTTCTAAACTTTCCTCAACAGCTGACTTTGCTGCATATTGAGGATCCCTTAGCCAAGAAGGATTAGCAACAAAGAACTCTTGGAAAGAAACAACTGAGAACCTGTTGCCCAACAAATATGCAAAAGAAAATGGAAATGTATAGGACAGACGCTGGAGAAACTGTTGAGTGACATTTCTCGTTGGGAAGGCCCTAGAGTGGGACCCGAATGGGAAGCGATGAGTTGGTTGTCGTTTCAAGGGTGACATGGAAAAGATTGTGTGAGGACATCAAAGCTTATGAATGATCGTGGAGCCCACTCAAAGGGACTGCAGAAAACAGGATGAAATGGAGACGTACCGTTGAAGTCCTATATACCACTTGGAACTCAAGGGAATAGGGAAAAATAAGTGATAAGATCCGTAGAATGATAAATGTCATCTGAACTATATACATGGCACCAGTCAATGAAATCTACAACAGTTAGTCTAAGCCACGTAGGAAAGTGTAGACTTCCTAGTTGAGGTCCTCGGGACGGTAAAAACCAATGGTTGGAAACAATTGGTGACATGGCTCTAAATCGTTCTCAGTGGCGCAGATGCATCCACTCCTTGTGACTTATGATTTCCAATTAAACTGTTTTGTTCTCCGTTATTACTATTCCTTTGTCTCACACCTCTGTTTACTGTCTATATTATGCATTTCTTCTACTTTCTTCTCTTCCTTTGTGTGCTACAAGGATGGATTGTGGCGACTTGAACAGCCGCACATATGTGCAAAGTTCTATGTCGAAAACCGACCGAACTATATACTGAAATATGGAATTCCATACCTTAAAATGAACCAGAAAATAAATAAACTTCAAAAAAAGCTAAGGAATTAAGAACCCTGACTTACCTAAATAGTCTAACATATCTGCCGATGTAAGAAGCATACCACATGGATTGGCAATATTTTTCCCTGCTAACGAACGTCCAGAATTACGTGTACCCATTTCGAATAGGGCATTCTGTGGGCCTAAATTAATACCGGTTGTGAGACCAGCTCCGCCGACTAAACCAGCCGCCACATTGCCAACTATATTCCCGTAGAGATTTGGTAAAACAATCACATCGAATTGTTGTGGTTTACTGACCAACTGCATACACGTATTGTCAATAATCATATGATTGAATTCAATCTGTGTTCAGAAAGATTTTAATGAAATGAGCAAATACGAGACATAATAGAAACATGGAATGATGAAAACAATGGAAAAGATAGAATATGCAAGAACTTAAAACAATAAATTAAACACTAAGTGTCATTTTAATGTGCGCATTTCGTCTTATTTGATACTCGTCACCCGGATGTACCTGCATTCTTCAGTGGGTGACTTCTCTTCCCGCTGATACTTGAGTCCAGTACCCATTGAAATGTGCATCCTGTATTCCACTGCGAGTCACTATCCACCAAATTACTTCAAGGTAGTCCTCAGACACCATCGAATCGTCCGTACCAGGGACCGACATGTTTACAGAGGCCGAATATTCCACTCCAATCAATCAACGGGAAAATCATGACTGAATTAAAAAACAAATAATAACTAAGTGTTATTTCTTGAAATTACTCTGAGCTCCCAATTAATTATACTGGATCGAAATGCTCGGCCTCTGTTGACAAGTCGGCTCCTCATACAAACCCTTTGATAATGCTTTAAGACAAACATGATATCACTTGGTTAGTGGGAGATATGAAAAGATTAGCCGTCTTTGAACATAGGTGCCTGCGTTCTATCTCCCGTGTGAAGTGGTATAATAAGGTGAGCAATATTGAGGTTAGGCGTCGAGTGCTAGGTAAGGAGGGGAAATCAATCGACGAGGCTGTGAAATTACATCGACTGAGATGGTTAGGACATGTGTTACGCATCAATGCCTAGTCATTGCCTTCCTCGACGGGCAATGTTAGCTGGAAAAGAGCTAGCGGCGGTCAAACGAAAACATGGCACCAGTCAATGAAATCCACAACAGTTAGCTTAAGCCACGTAGGAAGGTGTAGACTTCCTGGTTGGGGTCCTCGGGACGGTAGATACCAATGGTTGGAAACAATTGGTGACATGGCTCAAAATCGTTCTCAATGGTTGGCGCAGATGCATCCACTCCTTGTGACTTATGATTTCCAATGAAACTGTTTTGTTCTTCGTTATTACTATACCCTTGTCTCACACCTCTGTTTACTGTCTTTATTATGCATTTCTCCTAATTTCTTCTCTTGCTTTATGTGCTACATGGAGTGTGGCGACTTGAACTGCCGCACATCGGTGCAAAGTTCTATGTCGAATACAGACAGACAGACACTTGGTTAGTGGTGGCTAGCAGCGGAGTCTAGGAGACTCGTCTCTTCCCTTGTAGGGCTCATCTGCTGATTATGCCTGCATTGATAGTGAATGATTGGATGAATGGAATTTGAAAGAACCACCTCTTACTACAGTTATACTCTTTAATGATGGTCTGTGACGTAAACAATCGCCAATCGACAGAAGTTAGAATTCATAGACTATCGGATTCCGTCCCAGTAGTTTACTTGGTTGGTCAATGAGCTCAACTCGTAACCTGAAGCTTCTGGGTTTGATCCCAAAGGGGAATATGGGTGTGTGCTGAGAAAGAGTCCTAAAGCACTAGGACGAAACAGCCGCCCCAGAACTCCGTAGTTTTCAAGGGTTCTTCAATTGACATTAATTTGTGATCAAATTTAGATGGAAGAACTGTTCATCAAATGAAGTACTACCATGGAAAGTGAATAATGTCGAAATTTGAGTTGAATGATGAGAGACTGTGAACTGATAATAAATATGTATACAAATAAATTGTTGGAAACCTTGAAAATATCAGCTAATAGATGGGCTACGTTCAGTTAGCAACTGATAATAACTATGACCAGTTGAATGGAACTAAAAGTTTTCTGGCCTGATCATCGGAATAGGTTATTATATTAAACACAAAAAACTTGGAACAATATGGTACCAAGAAGATGCGCTACACAATAACAATAAAACAACATAGATTGCAGCACGTTCGCCATTGATCGCAATTCTTGACCATATCCCATAACGTTTTGGGTCACCGATTCGGACTCCAACCAGGGAGTTGTGATGCACCAACCGATGCTAACTTAACACAAATATCCTTCGCCCAGCGACGCAACATCATGGGCTGACCACCTTTCCGCTTTTTCCATCTCGTCCCAGGGCTAGCGAACAGAAACCTGTACGGAAGTCTGTGGGGTGACATTATAGCACATGTCCAAGCCACCAAAGCCCATGCTTCCAAATGACGACACTCAACGAATGGTGATCTCCACTGTGTCCAAACGCCAGCCGCCGGACATCAGAACTGCTCACGTAATTATGCCGTCGGACGCAAACAATTCTGCTGAGACAGCGATGATCGAATACGCAGAGTCGCCGTACATCCTCAGCTCGGAGAGGCCAGGTTTCACAGGAGTGAACAGCACGCACCGAATCACCATCGGAATAGCTTATTGTTCTTTAGACAACCTGCCTTAGAAACGAATTTAGGCTTCCTACACCCGTTGGCTCTTTCTCATAGATTAGCTTACAATTCTACTGAACCATATTTTTAGATCAATTGATATTTCATCGCTGCATTATTTAGAATTATAAAAACTTAAACAGATGCACTACTGCCCGTGTTAGTTGAAACTGTAAAGTAGTCAGTCACGTAAAATATCGAACAAATATCTTACTCGATAGTACAGTATGTCTGAACTCCAGGCTATGCGCCGCAAATATTGTGTGAAGGCTAATTTTACTACCTAATAAGCTTGGCTGAAGTAGATGGAGCGGTATTCGAACCCAAGACCTCTTGGCTGAATGACAGTCGAGTGCTTACACCAATAAGCCACATCTCCAATCGCCACAGGATGAAATCTTCTACTTGACGAATATTTTTACGCATATGTCCACAGTGAAAACTAGACCTCTTAAAAGTTTACTTGAGTTTTCTTTATAATTTCTGAAAATCATAAAGACATCGTTTAAATACAGTCAACAGGTTATCGTAAAACGTTAACTAAGAGGTTTCCTAGAGACTGATGCCTAATGAAAGGAGTTGATGGGTGCCAATAACCATTACGAGAGTCAGGTGCTAGTCACATTTTCACTTTATTTCACCTACTTGTTTGTTTAATTCAGGTGACACAATGCTATTTCATGTTTCTATGCAGAACATTAAAAAATGAAAAATTCTGGTTACGCATGTGTTAGTTGTATTTCACTCTGTACAACTGTAAATTCATTAAAACCCTCAGGGAAAATCTGTTTTTCAGGTGTTGGTTTGCAGGGATTCAAATGGTCACAGGGTTTTATCATGAGCTGGCGTGGGTTGCAGAATTACTGGAAAACCTGGGAGCACTGGACTGCTGTTTCGCCCAAGTTTGGGACTCTTCATCAGTGCACACCAACCAAAATGGTTTGAACCCAGGACCTTCTGGCCACAAGGCAAGCTCGTAGACCGTTAAGCCATTGAGGTCCGAGTCAATGGCTAGTCCATGAATTCTAACTTCTGCCAATTCACTATATTCAAGGACGGAGCGAACTGCTGAGCAGTACACACGTCCCTTCGTTGATAGCCGGAGGCGTGACAACCGGCTATCAACCAAGGGAGGTGTGCACTGCTCAGCAGCTCGCTCCATCCTTCTCTATGGCTCTGAAACATGGCCAATACGAGTTGAGGACATGAAAAGGTTGACTGTTTTTGACCACAGATGTTTACGATCTCTTTCTCACGTTAGGTGATATAATAAGGTAAGTAATGTTGACCTTAGGCGTAGTGTTGGGCAAAGAGGGAAAATCAATCGAAGAGGCTATAAAGTTACATAGATTGAGATGGCTAGGTCACGTGCTGCGCATGCCTAACCATCGCCTCCCCCGACGGGCATTACTAGCTGATATAGGTGCAGGTTGGAAAAGAGTAAGTGGTGGCCAAACAAAAACATGGCCTCATCAATCCATGAAATGCTTGGCAGTTAAACTGAGTCAGGTAGGGAGATGCAGACTTCCGGGTAGGGGCCTGCCCTCGGGACTCTAAGAATCAATGGCTGGAGACAATAGGTGACATGGCTCAAAATCATCGTCAATGGCTTACGCAGATGTATTCAGTCTGTGTAATCTTTCATATTCCTTTCTACCATTACTCATTCTGTTTCACTCTTATACTTGTCAAAATTCTATTCATTCTCTTCACTCATTTTCTTGTCTACCTTTGTGTGCTATTTGGAAGGTGGCAACTCGAACTGCTGCACTTCGGTGCCAAGTTCTATGTTGAATCCAGACAGAATTCACGATATAGCACGAACGTTAGCTAACGTCATCGGTGGAGAGTATTTGTCCTCACACCCCATCTGTTGTACCGCAGAAGCCAGGTAACTACCCACCTGAATAGGGTCAGTGCTTCCAGGTTTTCCAATGGTTCTCAGACCGATATCAGCTCATGATAAAATTTGTTTTCCTCATAGTAGCTAAAATCACCACGTAAGCATATATACGTGTTGTGCATCAGTGATTCAATCGTAAAATATTCGCCAACCACTCTCGTATGGTCTGGGTTCAACGCCTAGACGACGCATCTTTAATTCTCTTCTAGTTTACTATTCAGTGGCAATCCAGAAAAGAGGAAAGGTTGAGAGTAAGGCCAGCCAACCCAACCGCTACTGAGAACTGATAATGCTTGAAGACACTTATGCCAAAGAGCAAAACAATGAAAAAAATGCAAGCACACACACACGTGCACATTATTATCACTAACCTGTGGATATTTTTTAGCCATATTCGAGCATACTTCTAAGAACAGACCATCACCTAACTTCATAATATTTGCTTTGTGTACAGCAGTGACCTTTTTACGATTATGTCGAACAGCATAGTCAAATGCAAATTGTGCAATTCTATATTTAAAAGGAAACAAATGAAATAATATAGAACTAGAATAGATAATTAGTTAAAGAGCATAAGCATGTGAGTGTGTATATCATCACCGAGGCCTAATTTAAGGATAGGGAGTGAAACAGCTGAGCATGATGACTCCTATACTTATCTGGGGAGTTACATTAGCTCTAATCGATTGATCACTGACAAAATCTCTGCATAAACAAAAAACAGTTCGTGTGGCACATTTTACAGCTTGCCTCTCCTTTGGAGTAAATATGATAAGGAGATATTGACCAGTCAACGTGTATACTGTGCGGCATTTCGCTCTGTCCTTCTTAACGGCTGTGAGACAACGACATTGAAAGTGGAAGACTCTAAGAGGCTAGCTGTCTTTCTTTACCGGTGTTCGCGTTCTATCACCTGTGCCAAGTGGTATAATATGGAGAGTAATATAGAGATTAGGCGTAGTATTAGGCAACGAAAGCAAGTCAATAGATAAGATTGCGAAGCAGCATCGATTGACATGGCTAGGACACACAAACACATGTGTTACACAAGACAAGCCAGCACCACATCCTTGACGAATAATGTTAGCTGACATTCGATTAGTCTCGAAAAGAGTTGGGGTCAGAGTTAAAACGAGGTACATGAAGTACTACAGTTACTGTGGACTATGTAGGTAAGTACGGATTACTAGAATGAGGTTATTGAGGCGCTAAGAATCAATGGCTGGAAACTGTTAGAGAAATGGCTCAAAATCGTTCTCAATGTTGCAAATTTATTCATTTATGGTAACCTTCTAGATTCATAAAATCCTTATTGTTATCCATGAAATTTCTTTTCTCATCCTGAATTCTTTTTTCCTCTAACTTCATGTACACATTTATGAAGCGAGGGGACTTGAACTGGATGCACCTTTTGTGGAAGGGTGTATGTTGAAAATACAACTAGTCAGTATAAACCAGTTCAGCAGCACTTTCACTATTAATTCCTTATCACTCGTTAGAAAGTATGATGAATATGTTTACATCATAATAAGGAAAAACATGATATCAATCAGTTAAAAAAAAAAGACAAACTCACCTTGTAGATTTCTCTCTTGTTATAATTTTCAAGGATTCAACTACTCCAGGAACATTTTCATGCTCCAACTAATTTGTAAAAAAAGTCAACAATTTTCAAAGAAATTAGTCCAATATATAATTCATATTTAATAGACACATGATTCCATAATGCAAGCGTCCAGTGATCGACTTGTTTAAAAAATCATAAAGTGCTTGAATTTGTTTTCAAATGCTAGTTTGCAGGAATTTGAATGATTTCAAATTTGACCACTGATTGATATCAGTTAGAGAACCATTGAAAACCAAAGAGTACTGGTACCTGTGTCTTCGTAGTCTGGGTCTCTTCACCAGTACGCACCCATGACCCTACCGAGAATCGAACTCGAAGCGAGCCTCACCGACTATTTTAGACACTGAAACGGAATCCAACAGCCTATAAATTCCAATACTCCCTGATTTTCAATGGTTCTCTAACTGATATCAATCTATGGTCAGACTTGAAACCAAACAAATCCCTACAAATTAACTCTTGGAAATTAATCTGATCCTCACTAGTGACTGGTTACAGGATGATATTGCCTGGAGTTCTAGAGAGAAGTCGTGAATAGTGGAGTCCACCAGGTTGGATATGAGGACAAACACTATCCGATGACACTGTCTGACAGTGGTGCTAAATATCAGGAATTCATAGAAGTTGGAATTTATGGGTTATCGGATTCCGTCCCAGTGGCTGAACGGTCACAACCGGCCAGTCACGTAACCTGAAGGTCCTAAGTTCGATCTTCAGTGGGGTCATAGGTGTTTACTGCTTTGATTTCTAAAATTGATACTGTTATTGAATGCGAAGTATTTTTGCTAACTTAACGTTGTCGAACCCCAAGGAATGACTTCATGGGACTTAAAAATGCTGTTGTGCTGCCCTTAAGATAACGCAGTTATATAACTTATTTTATTTCGAATTATTATGTATAACCAAAATGAATCAATATTCCCTTGTAACATAAGTGATTGTGTATATCTAAGGATAGTCGAGCTGTGGTTTACTGGTCTAGACACTCAACTAATAACCACTGGGTCACGACTTTGGAACCCACTTCACCTACCAAAGTTTAGTCAAACAGGTAGTACCTTTGGCTTACACAAAATAAGTGTAGTTCATTGCCATATAAATAATATTACAGTCTTAAAACACTGCACAAAGCGCGCACTTTCCAAACGCATTTCTGAACATTATTCGGCATGGTTAGCAAAATGACAATACAAGACAGTTACTAGCTCAATTCTCGAGCACTTGGTGAACTCAAGACACGCAGCTCCACCAGAGTCGTCTTTCAAGATTATCTACAACGTGAGACCAAGTGGTACAAAGGGCATCAGGTCTCGGCATTTGTGTGCGGCGGAGGCACTGGCAATTCGTGAACACAACCGCGAACTATGTATACAGAAAAAGTTTGTCCAGTCTCTTATTCTACCGTGATCTTAACATCTTGATTAGTCGTTCCCTATAATTTTTTATTTATTATAACGATTAGTTTGCTCTTACTTTAATAATTAATTCACTATTATCACTCTTACATGTTCCTTTTGTACATTTTCTAACCCTCTTCACACTTGTTAAATGTACACTCAACCAGCTTACTTCTCATTGAATAACAATTTTAATTTTATCGAATTTCTAACACTTTCTTCCTTTGTGCCGTTGAGTATTACGTAATTTGTAACTTTTATTTTTACTTTCGAAGCCATTTCCAAGTAATTATATCAGTTATGTCACCCCCAATATACTACTCAATAATAGACTACTATACATTTTGGTAAATATAAATACGATTGTACAGCCTCCGAAGATGATTACGTCGATAAAGAAAATTTTCTTCGCTGAATTGTCTTTTAAAAAGCTTAGTTTATTGTGATGATAATTATATCATATTTTATTAACGACAAAATAAAGTTTATACTCGAATAGCATTAAAGTTATTCGGATACACCAATGAACAATAACAAGTTTAGTGAGCATAACACTGGAAATAACTATCATTCTGCTAAACCAGAGAGAATTGACAATAAATGTGATGTTAATTACTAAGCAAATAATTACTTCTACCCACAAGAGAATAGCTGAAAACAATACAGAAGTGAATAACTCTCCCGAAGATTAAGAAGATATCAAGTTCGTCAGTAGAAAATAAAAGTTATGTGCTACCAATTGATTGACATGAGAAGTCGGACATCACTCATATCAAGCACTATTAGTGCTTTCTAGTCAGACTGAAGTGATATAAACCCTGCGAGGTCGTTTAGAAAGAATAAGTGTGGTGGTGTGATACAGACAATGGGTTCCAGCGGAATACCATTCTCACAGTAAAAATCATCGTATTTGTTGGTGTTAACATCCGAGTACTATTTTCACAGTTCAATATTGCACATTAGCAACAGAATACTAAATGTATTTGAACATTCTATTTCATGTCGTTTGATGTAAACCCAAATCACACGTTCAGTGATTGGTTAAAGGACATAAAACTATATAGATATAAATAGCTGTTTGATCACTTGAAAATATACTTTGGCTTCTGTGTCTTGCCTTCTGCTGTTACATAAGTAGCAGATTATACAGACGTAATCTAATGTTTTCTTGTTCTAACCTATGGTAGTTATTCAGGTGGTGTATTTCCTTGATTTAGACTACTTATACATTTAGGATACAAAACTCCAGTAGTGCTAGAAAGACAGAAAATGAGCGGAGGTGCGTATATATATATATATATATATAAATCAACACTAAAATATTTAAAAAACACCATAAAAGCATTGTCTTTTTAGGAAAAACAATTCATGTACTTACACGACTGTATTCACCTTCGGTATTTTCACGTATTATAACAATATCAACATTTTGATGACGCGTAGTCACACCAGGAAAGTTATGACATCGTTGAACAAAGGCGTATAGATTTAATTTCAGACGAAGAGCAAGATTTCTAGATGACTGACCTGTGAATTCAGTTTTAAACACAAAGACGCATAATTTGACTAATTAAGTATGCTTAAAATATAGGTTAGTAATTTTAACTCCAAAGGAGACATTAATGTTGAACTAAAACCTTAGGGAATAACTAGCAAACGAAGAAACGCCTCATTTACTTATACTTTGTGGAAGAAATAGTCCTCTCATTGAGCAGGATACTGGCTCTGTATGCAATACACGTCCCAGACCCATTGACTGACTCACGTTTCTTACTTAGCACTCCATGTCTAATCTCATCACTGCTTGCCTCTTTCTTCACCAATTCAATAATGATCTAGATATTCATATGCCTGCAATCGTTTCTTGTCTTCATTTTTCAGCCTCTTTACCTCACAGAGAGAGCAGTACATACAAACTTCTTAAGTCAGTTAGGTATAGCTCTCCAGGGTCAAAGGTCATGCAAGTTTTCATGCTGACATTTTGTTAGCGACTAGTCAGTTAGGGATGATACGATTTCCAAAATAAGTGAAGTAGCTATCACATCGGACCACTTCAATTTTCCTTTCAACTTTGGAGTCGGTGTAGCTGAGTCTTGTAGCATCATCTTAAATTCGGTGTTCAGCAGTTCGCTCCGTCCTCCTTTATGGCTGTGAAACATGGCCATTGGAAGTGGAAGACATGAAAAACCTGGCTAGCTGTCTTTGATCATAGGTGTCTGCGTTCTATCTCCCGTGTGAAGTGGTATAATAGGGTGAGCAATATTGAGGTTAGGTGTCCCTATTACTGTTTTTTGCCCCATATCTCTGTTTTGAATTTCCTTTTAATTTCTTCTCCTACTTTGTGTGCCAAGTGAAGTATGGCGAGTCGAACTACTGCACATCGGTGCAAAGTTCTACACTGAAACCGATCAGTCAGTCTTAAATTCGGCAGAAGCGAACCGTACGCCAAACAATCAGATATCTGCTCAGGAAGTCCGGAAGAAATGTTCACATAAGAAGACTATTTTGTCTGCAAATTGTACGTCGACGAGGCCTTTCTTTAGTTGCTGGTTAGTTCCAGAGAAGTCAAGACTGAAGTAAGAATGTATACACATTTTTACGCCTTGGATGTTCAGCATCACTTAATAGAGTCGTAGCTCAGCAACTGGCTAATACAGAACACCAGATCAACAAAATGGGATCTTCTAAGGTGGTTAAAACACAAAAACTTCACGACTATTTCAAACCGCTGGAGATGTGACCATCTGGAGAGTGATAGCTAATGTATATATTTGCACAGAAACTGGATTTATTCTGAAACCAGCAATTATAACAGCTATCAACTGTTAGAGGTAGTTATTATCTCCCTACATGCACGCACCGTAACTTTAAAAATCTAACCCAAGTTTAAACAAATACGAAATCAAATGAAGATTTCGAAACTAAAAAGGAGCAATAACTTTCTTTTTCTTTATTATAGCTTGATTCCAAACAGTATTTTTGGCACAAGTATGAAATTTTTAGCATGTGATATCGGTAGCCCAAATTTTGCAGGTCGACCTTAGATATCAGGTGTGCGTTGGCAGGGAATCGAACTCTGGACCATGTTCATGGTACCGACGAACAGATTGAATGACAAACTGGATTAAAACAGTAAATTAGATCCGGAGAAATACATCAGAGAAAACACAAAGAATGAAGTCGTAAAATTTAACACGTACCTGGTTCTGTAGCAAAATTCCCTTTGATCCCTACACCATTGCGTTTCATAGCAAGTAAGGCATCAGTAAAAGTTGCATCTTCGCACTCTTGATTCACAGCGACTTCTTCAAAGTCTATTGGTGCTCCAATAAGCTGGAAAACCTCTTTGACATAAGATAAGAGTTCAGGACCAACACCATCCCCCAAAAGCATCGCAACAGTATGACGGCCACCATAGCAAGCTCTTGGAAATTCTTTATGAAACCCCAAGTTCAAAAAGTGCTTGGATCCAGCTGGAACATCCAAATCAGCATTTGTAATTACGTTGGTAGTAGTAGTAGATAGCAACCTGATTTTTGAACATACTCCCAAAGACTAAAAATAAAAGGTATTCAGTTTATTTACTTAAATATTTCACTCGAGCTTACAGCAAGAAAGGCAAAATTTAGGTAGTTATGAAATCCCAAAGACCTATAAACTAACACATATCTCAGTCGTAAGTCCTACAGTCAGTCACAAGTGAATATATACTGTTCAATAACTTGAATAAATCAGTAGTAAATCTTAAGACTTTGGTACTGAGTAATGCAGGTTTAGACTCCCGAGGGAACATGAGTTTTTTCAAGACCGGAGGATTATGTTGAGTATCTGGTGCCAAGAAGCAAAAGAGTAGAGTCCAGGGCTTCCCAACATTTACTTCTTCCGTAGATTCTTTCTGTTTCCTGATTTCTTTTAAAATACCGATGACAACCCCAGTTAATGATTGGGTGTTTTGTTATGTAAAACACAGGAGCAATGCATTTTGTGGTACACAAATAACACTATTAAAAGTCAGTAGGTTTTCACCGTACTTGATATCCTGGTGTAATGACAGTTTCAGTAATTTCAAAAACCATTTACACATTTAGAAAACACACACTGAGGGAAGAAATACATACCTTGTTAATTAGTTTCTGATCGACAGCTCAACATATATATATATATATATTACATCACAAAATTACACTAATCATATAGTAATGTTAGTCAATAAGAATTATGAGTTTTAAGGTATAGAAGGGGTGAAAATAAATGACCAGAAATCATCAAAACAGTGAATCAATAGAAGTTAGTAATAGATTGCCTAGTCGTATGCTCAGTGTTCATCGTTGAATTTCTGACCACTCATCTTGGTTAGGAGAAGGATAGAATTTAGCCATGCGTAGCTTAATACCAGTTCATCTTACATATGATTTTGTCCGTCCTTGTAACCATCACTGGACTTTGTTATTTTATTATGATTACTATTCTAACTAGTTCCATTAATTTGTTTGTATCTTGGTATTCTTAAGGCAATACATCTATCTATTCTTCTTAGGCATAATCATTTTACAAATTATTGATTATGTAATGGATTGTTGCTAACTTTCACAAGTGAACTGATCTTGAATTCCATAATTATTTTTCATCCCTCCTAAACCTTTAAGTTTATATTTCTTGTTGACTAACAATCTGCTAACTTTTACTAATTAACTGTTTTGATGATTTCTAATCAGTTATTTTTACCCGTTCTCTACCTTAAAACCGATCATTTTTATTGACTAACACAACCATATGATTGGCATTTTTCGATGTAAAACTATATATATATATATATATATATATATATATATATATATATATATATATGGGAAAGAACCGCTGATAAGGAATTAGAGAGGAACCTTTTATCGCTGAATTTAATGGAAATGTCTTGCTTAAATAAAGTGGTAAGAAACGTGTCTGAAGAATATGAAAAAACATGCCCGAATACTAATACAGATATGCAGGCTTTTTGTATTTACTAACTATGAATAATATCCAAAGTCCTTTTCTTTTGAAGTAGGACTAACATGAAAGATTTTAACCACCTGAAATGACGCCACGGGATTTGGAGAAAAACTGCAAAATATGGTTTCTTTGAAGGCCTTGTAACTCTATTCTATTGTGTTTGCCATATAGTTATGCTTTTGATGCCATTAAAATGAACCTATAGAGCAAAACGTGTGTTGTTTCTGGAGTCAACTTCTTACTCTTCAGTTCCATAGATGTTAACCGACATAAACTGAAGGTACTCATATCTTAGAATATAGTACTGTAGTCTAAATTAAGTACAGTGAGCGACACTACTACATCCATAGAAATCGATTAACCAGTGATATATTGAATAACAGTAGGAGAATAATTCAATCATAGGGTGAATTTATTTGATAAAATCTCAGTGCTATACAGTATTAACATTATCCCCAGTTAATGTTATTGTATTACAACGAGGCTTTAAAAAATAAATTTACTCTATGATGGTTTTATGCTCTACCATAGTCCCCAAGTTCTATTTTTACATCAATAATTAGAGAATTCGTGACTAGATCATTGCTTAGGCTCATTCTAACTACAGCTGAGATTTGGCAGTAACATGTAATTCCCTTGAATTGACTTGAATAACTAATTGTTCTACACCTCAAAAGAATCGAAAACAGCTCTAATAAACATACAGAAACTAAAGTACATTATGCAACGAAACAGTGTCAGCTGAAACATCACCGCATATTAGGGAGCATTAAATAGTTGTATAGTTCCAGTTCAGGACTATTCAGAAATTTCAACCCAGGATCCACAACGGGCAGAACTCACTCACCAGTTGAACATCAAGAAAAGCAGTCCTGGGACTAATTTACTTGTGACAGTCCGCTGTAACGAATATATACTTATGTCAATAGGCTAAGGTACTGGACAGAAGTAACTGGATTTTTAAGAGAGGGACAAAACCACGTATTTACAGGTCCATACTGTAACCAAACCTACTCGGGGAAATACAAATCTACATAATCCCAAGGTCGAATTCATTTTAAAATTTAGGGACTGTAAATGTCAATGTTGAACTGTTCCAATATCCAATATGATTGTCACTAGTTGGTATACACCAAATTGATTTCTTCGTTCCTATTCCTTCATAAGGAGAAAATAGTTTTGAATTATAATGAGTTCCTGGTGGGCCATTCCTGTTATTCGCTTGCTGTAATTAGGAATGGGACTCTGAATGAAGTATGCCGGCTAGATTTGAAAAGTAATTTGTGGTCTGTGCTAACCTATGACTGTGGTAGCTGTCAGACTTTTCGCTGGTTAGTCGTCCAGTATGACTGAAGGGAATGAGATAGCAATAATTTTTTATATAGGAATAAAACTCATTTGACAGGGAGAATGGTAAGAAGCATACATGACAGCAAAATAATAATTTATATTTCACATAAACTGGTAAGTTTACATGAAATACATGCCATTTTTACAGGTACGATCAGTTACGTTATAAATTACAGTCGTGAAGCATCATAAACTCATACTTAATCAAAAGTTTAAATTGTTCGATTGTTGTGCACGCAATCAGAACAGATTCGTATGAATGTTATGTTGTAAATCCTTCACTAGGGCCACCATCAAACTTGAGTGATAACCCAAACTTTGTTCCATTTCCTACTAATAATTATGGTCAACCAGTGAACAACGTAAGTGCTACACCTTCACGTAATTAAAAGCTATTTCAGGAAGAGGAGAACGTCATGGGAAAATGTAAAGTGGCATAAAATACAATTATGGGTAATACATTGTAGCGGTAAATAATTCCCCAAAATTATTGACCACAGCAATCATCACTCAACATTGGATGCTGACCATCACTGTTTAAGTCGACTTGTTTAGCTGAAGGCTTACGGTCAAGCATCCCCGCCATTTGGTACTCCGTCGTGTCACGTGCGCGCGCGATTATTAGCTAGCTAAGCATTCATCTCTACCTGCAATTTTGTCCCGAAATATACTACGTACTTTGGACGACAAAATCTGGTCTTTTGCTTTACCATTTGGTACTCGAAGGACGAACACTATAGAAGTTGTTGGTATAAGATCTTGCGTTAGTATAATCCGTACAACTCGCGAACATCGATACCTGCAACCTCTAAAACATCATTGAAAGCACATTAACAAGATGTATACAAGAAGGAGGTGGAGACTCCTTGAAATGATAGTATACGTTTGCAATATCCATGCTGAAAATTCCATACTTGTACTGAAAATACGGTGTGGAATCAAGCTGTAAATCAAAAAAAATGCTTAATGCTAGCCATATTGGTCTTAGCATGGAAACTATGACGTTTTCAATGAAAATATAGCTTTGCTCAAATATTGATGTTGTGTTTTTACTCGAAGCAACCAGACTTTAGGCAAGCAACAAATATGAACAAAAAGCAAGTTTTAGCTTTAATAAAGGCCTAGGTAGTTCAGATAAAATAGAGTATAACAGTGCGTAGATAAAAAGATCATCGTGAGGTGGATAAGTGATATTTCAGTGGGAAGTGAATTCAAAGATCCGGAAGATTAGAACCCATAGGACAAGCTGACCTGTAAGATGTCTAGCGAATTTCTGTATGGCCCATGGAGTAGTATCTTGACAAGAAGCTGAGCGGACTTGTATATGTTAAGAGCCATAAAGGGGACCTTGCATAAAGCCCCTATTGTTTGTTTGGCGTCATATCATACTACCGTGTCCACGTAAAACACAGAAAAAATATTTGACTTGCCTCTATTGGTCTGCAGCGAAAAGACTGTTTGGAAGTTTCCTCCTGAACGATATAGTCACAATATTATAACTTATTTGGATGCTTGAACGAACCTGTTGATTTGACTCTTATTACTAGTCTTTGTCATCGTTTAATCTGTAATTTTAATGCTTCCTTTTTTGGTTGCGTATACTTTGAAAATAATAATATGCTTTACTCCGAAAATTGAACTTGTAATGCAGTGTGAAATTCTCAGCATTTACTGTACGATATTATTTCGTCTCGGTGAATCAAGTTCATTCTGGTCCTGGAATGTCCGCAGGAGGCATCCATGTGTAATTCTTGTTTAAGGAAAATAATATATTCCCATTTTTTGTACATGAAGGACATGAGTCTACAGGTATCATCAGTTATCATTTTAAAATAATCTCATGTCATCAAAGATTTCACACCGGCTCACATATTTTACTTGCATACCTTGAAGTAAGGCCCGACCCCAGACTTCTCTTTTATAGTAGTCTGACTGCTAGGAAAGAAGTGACAGCCCAAAAGTCAGTGAAAATGAATGGTCTTCAAAGTAAATACAGGAAATAGATGAGATCAAGACAAAGTGAATTTAGCTTGTAGCAACGCTGAGCTACTTTTCTACAGACTCAATGGACATTGTTTACGCTTGGAGAAAGAGAATCTTCCACAAAACTAAGTGACTCTGAAATGCAAATTCTTGGCAAGTCTGGCGGTGAAAAAATTACATTTGTTTTCATACGTTTGGATGCTCAAGACAATTTCAGATTGTGTGGTTACAATTCAAATATAAAGGGTCTGGTTTCAGGTGTGAGTTTAACGGTTCCTTCGACGTAAAATCCACCACTGAATTTCAAATTCTAGTCACTACCCCTAATGTAGTATATTTCAAAAAACGAAATTATTCACTTCACATTGAGAAAAGCACCACTTGCCTTGTGGTTTTTATACAAACATTTAGGGAAAAAAGCCCGAGTCAGTTCTTCTACATGTTTTTCCTAAGTAAGGCCTGACATGTTATTCCCGAATTTTTAGTTTGACGATGTGCTAATTCCAACTCATTTATTTGTTTAGTTTCCTCAACAATTTACTGGGGGTTGCATCAGTAGTGCAGTGCATTCTGTGCACATTAATATGTCTCTATAAAATGTCAAATAAGAGGGTCGTGCACGGTTCCATTTAAGTTTTCCTATCAAAGCATCGAAAAAAACACTGCTGAGCCAACTAGGCGACAGAAGTTCAGGGACCTGCATGATTACAATTTCATTTGCACATGAGTCTATACCAACAGCAGATGCAAAACTGTTAGTGGACACCAATCCTCCAAACAGAGGCAGAAGTCTTGAGTGCTGTTAATATACTGCACAACGGCCGAGAAAGCAGCAGGGCCAGAAGGAATTCCTCCTCCTACCCAGAAGCACTGCAGACAGGCCCACAGGGTGCTGCAGATGTTCCCACACCACCACTGCAAAAGGCTTCGAAAGAAGTGGAGGTGTTTACCGATTGAAAGAAAGGTTGGCTACATAAGGAAGTTACAAAGGAAGGGAGACTTAAGTCTCTGCAAGAACTGGCATGGAATAATGCTCTTGTCCACGCCAAGTAAAATACTAAGTCGCTTCAACCTAGAGAGATTCAAAGATGCACAGGATGCAGAACTCTACCTACCGGAACAAGCTGAATTCGGGAGAGGTAAATCATCTGCTTCTGAAACTGAAAATCTACACATCATCTCAGAACAAAGCATTGAGTGGCAGTCAAACCCCTACCTCAATTTCACCGACTTAGCAATGGCCTTCGGCAAACGGCTCTGACTGAGAGGTAATTTGGGAACTATTTCAACACTACGGCGTGCAGTGCACAAATCTTTATCAACCTCATTCAACAGCTGGCTATATGACAATGTGATGTGTCAGGTGATCCACAATGGAAAGCCCATCGAGGCGTTCGCAGTGAATAGGAGTAAGAAAAGGCTACCTACTACTATCACCGGTGATATTCTTAACTGTGGTGGACTGGATTATGCGTCAGACTGTGCGTTGGGAGTGAAAGACTGGGATAGGCTGGACCGAAGACTCTAAAATATGTAGACTTCCCGGATGACTAATGTCACACAAACTCGAAGACCTACGGACGAAAACCAACAATTTGGCAGGAGTAGCAGGCAGCAAAACAGGATTCCTGCCAAACACAGAGAAGACGGAGGTGACGAAGATAATCAACCAGCCACAACAAGAAGAATCGCCAATCAAAGTCAATGGGAGAAATGTGAAATAGGTCACTTCCTTCACTTGACTAGGCAGCATCATTTTGAGTACAAGCGACGAAGATATCCACTAGATGTGATACCCTAGGACTAGAAACACTATGGCTAAGACGCCTGAGACTAAACTTAACACTTTACTATAAGCTTCTAAACCACTTAGTTTTTACCTCTACTAATGGCACTCGACTTTCAGATGACAATGGCCACAAACTATGACACATTAAGGGTACAGTAGCTATCGAACAATGTAAAACAGCCACCAGGCAAAAGTTTTACTTGATTAGGTATGCACAGATATGGAATAAACTACCAATGGAAATGCGTCAAGCAAGTACATTGGCCTCCTTCAAAAAGGTGCTTAATGACAAACTACAAGAGTTTGCAAACGATAGTAGTTCTAGTTCCTATCTGAGAGCCTCAGAAATTATAGGTCCATTTAATGTATAAGCTTAAATACCACACCTGTTGTTTTTTGCCTATATTTATAATTCTAGCTAAAACATTAAAGGTTAAGATACGTATCCTCAAACAGACAAGAAATCTCGTTTGTAAAACTACTACCCAACACAATAAGTGGAATAAAATGGACATAAACCGACAACATGAAAAAGGTATAACTCACAACAACATCACATGGACAGATGTACGCTCGTTGGGCACCATATATCCCTCACCAACTGCAACCCACCTTTCCTTAGATAATGTGAACTTATATCAATAATGTTGCTGAGCAGTTAATATTCTCAACTCCTGTCGGAACAGCTGAAACTCATAAACCTTCCTCACGCTAAGAAAATACCCACAAGCAGTAGAAATCCATTAATTAAGGCGTCTGAAGCTTATGTATTTACTCCCAACAATGACATTGCAGATCAAATGAGATAGACACACCACTGTTTTCAAAATAACGCATCAATGAACCATAATTCAAGGATTCTGCACACAACAAAGTTATGTATGAATATTTACTTCAAGCTTTATTTTTTTCCCAGACACTTATAATCCATCCACCAAAGACCTGGTTTTTTTGTTAGTGCGAAGACAATACTC